TCAATAAATAACTAAGCTAAATCAACAAAACTAGGATGGGATCAGAGGCAGCGTCGACCCGCTCGGGAACAGGATCAGAGGCGTCGTCAACTAGCTCAGAAACAGGAACAGGATCAGTGGCAGCGTCGACCAGGTCAGGAACAGGAACGGGATCAGAGACGGTGTCGACCAGCTCGGGGACAGGAACAGAATCAGAGACGGTGTCGACCAGCTTGGGGACAGGAACAGGATCAGTGGCGGCATTGATCTGCTCAGGATCAGAATCAGTTGAGACGACGTCAACCTGCTCAAAAACAGGAACGCGATGTGAGGCAGCATCGACCAGTTCGGGAATGGGATCTGGGGCGGCGTTGACCAGTTAAGTAACAGGATCAGGGGTGGCATCGACCAGCTCGGGAACAGGGATGAGAGGCAGCGTCGACCAACTTGGGAACAGGATCAATGGCGGCGTCGACCGGCAGGTGATGTGTTTAAAGGATTTATTAAACAAGGAATTAAACTGAACCCAAACTGAGAGAAAATCTAAAAAACCCAAAGAAGAAACAACTAAACCGACGACGCTAAATCAACAAAAAGGGACGGGATCAGAGGCGTCGTTGACCAGTTCAGGGACAGGAACAAGATCAGTGGCAGGGTCAACAGGCAGGTGATGTGTTTAAAAGGATTTTATTAAACAAGGAACTAAACTGAACCCGAACTGAGGAGTGGAAACTAAACTGAGGGGGGAAAACAGAACGGGGTAAACCAGACTGAATTCACAAAGAGACCAAAGCTACATGAAATGGAATGAATAATTACGCTAAATCAACGAAAATGGGGATACTCACAAGACAAACTAAACTGAAGGGGACAAAACTGATGGGCCAGACAGGCTCAGGGAATCTGGGATCTGGTGAGGACTGGTGACAGGCTGGAGCGGAGCTGGTGGCAGGTCCAGGCTGGTTGGCAGGATTGGGACAGCAAGTGTGTCGAAGTTGCAGGGGGGGTTCAGGTGGTGGGAGCTTGGGGACTGGCAGGAAAACAGGATTTCAGAGTTTATGGTCTGGCGGTGTACGGAGGAAGGAGCTGAGTTTGTAAAGGAGCTGAAGGTGATTGTAGACAAGTGAGCTGATTGCCACAACTGTCTCCAATACCTGTAATCAAGCACACAGGACCAGAGTGACAGGAGCTGAGTGAGAGGGAGATGAGTGAGAGGGGCATGAAGCAGGGATCCTGACAATATACTCACATTTAAAAGCCTCAGTATGCTGCTTTTTCTAGACCTGCCCGTGTGGCGACTATTCTCAGGCACAAGTCCCTTTCTGAACTCTATGTCACCATGGGGGGTCACAGTTTGTGGTCTTTTGCTGGTATGATTAAGAAAGCAGACAAATTATTATTTTTCTTTAAATGACACACAAGCGTTGCAGGAGAATCAGAGGTGTTGCTTTTCACACTAATGATGAACATGTTCCACTAACTTATACTTTTTTGTTGCCATTTTGAACGAATGACCTTTATTTGAGCAGAAAACGTTTCTATATCTGTTACATGTGTTTTTCTATGGACCAAACACTAGTTAATCTAAATCCTTATGGAAAAACTGTAGGAGCCTTTGCTGTATGTACAGTATATTGTTAAACCACTAATGAAGCACAGCGCTATTCAAATCAAGACCGAGTTCAGCCATCCATTTATCCACCACCACATTTGGCCAATTTGTTTTTAGAAATCTCACTGTGTCTTTCAACTGCACTAGTTTTTGTCTCTTCACAGTTTTCTGAATTCATTAGCGCCTGAGCTCCATTATCAGAAATCTGTGGCGTGAACTGCATCAAGTCCTGCTGTGGCAGCCGAGAACACTGATTAAATGATCGTCACTACAAAAAAAAAAACTTTATATAAGCGTTTGTCCTTGAAGCACTGAGGCCTGCAGTTCTGAATGAGGCAGTTATCCAAGATGAGCACATTTACAGCGTGTTACACCTGAAAAAACAACACAGTTGCAATGATCAGTGTACATGTGGTTATCATGAGTGTTTACACGTCCTAATATGGGCAAACATAGGAGGCTCATTGTTCAGTTTAACTGCTTCAAACTTAACACATGAAATATTCAAGTAATTTGAAAGAAAAAGAAAAAAAAATATCATTTTATTCCAACTTGTGTGACAGAATCCAGTTTATGTTCTCCATTACCTTGCCCTAGGTCTTCATTCAGGGCTGCAAGGTGGATCGGTGGTTAGCACTGTTGCCTCGCAGCAAGAAGGTCGCCAGTTCACGTCCTGGTGAGGACAGCCGTGTGGAGTTTGCATGTTCTCCCCATGCAGCGTGGGTTCTCAGGCTTCCTCCCACAAGTCCAAACACATGCTGAGGTTAATCAGTGATTCTAAATTGTCCGTAGGTGTGAATGTGAGTGTGCTTGGTTGTCTGTCTCTAAGTGTGGCCCTGTGACAGACTGGCGACCTGTCCAGGGTGTCCCGTCCCTTCACCCTAAGGATTAAGCGGTGGATAGATAATGGATGGATGGAGGTCTTCGTTCGACTTCAGGAGGCAGGTTTCTCAGGTGTTGTGTTGTCAGTCCAGCAGGGGGCAGCACAGCTCAGCCTGTAGCTCACATCACTGTTGGTGGAGTTGCTAACACACTGACAGTCAGGTGATTTATTCTGAATTTCCAACTGATATCAGTGTAGAAGAAAGGAAAAAAATGAGTTCTGATCTTTAAAGGTTAGCTTTCCATCTTTATGCCACAGTGCTGTCACTTCCTAATCTCATCTTTAGAAGGAATTTATTTAAAATTGGAACAAATGCTTCCTTGGACTCAGTAAAGAACTGATTGGGAGGTTGAATGTCAAAGGTCACCGAGACGTCACAAAACCTGTTTTTGGCCATAAATGTAGAATTCATTTGCTTGTTATGGCAAAATTCACACAAATGACAAACAGGATAAACTGATGAAGTGATGACACTTTATCTCCAAAAGGTCAAAGGTCACATCTGGACCAATTTGACTGATGGAGACATATGACCAATCAACTTACAGAAAGAAACCATTTTGGCTGCTGTAATTCTTCTTTCTTGTCCACACAAGCAGAGAGGCTGAGCATTCTGAGTTAAACAAATCAGTTTTTGGTGTTTTCCAGTAGATGGTCTTTCTTTCCTTTTGTTAGCTAAAATGTTTTTGCTATTGTAAATGAGTATGATATATCATTTCTCTGACCTCAGTGTGAACAAGAGGAGTGATTACAGCAACCAAAACCTGTGTCGGTGTACAGGAACAGGCAACAGATACACTGAGGGAGTCACAAGATGATTTCCAGAAATCAAATAAAATGTTCAAACTATTAGAAATGGCATATTCTAGTCATAATGCTGACGAAAGATAATTATTTTATTCAAACGATGTATAAAATCCTACATTATTTTGGGGGTCAGAGGCTGGAAACTTTGTTAATTCCATTTCTATCACAATTACTTCTCTTGGTTCCCCACTCACACCTTAAAACCAAAGATCAGGTTTTTTCAGCTTCCTCTTTTACTTTTATTCTACCTCTTTTTTAATCAGCCAGTGTGCTTTACCTTAACTTCATGTATGTTTACACTCAAGTTGTCTTCTATATGCACCACTGCATGACACCTTTGAGTCCTCTCTCTCCTTGTGCCTCGCTGCAGGTATTTCTGGTTCAGTGATGTTTATGAAGTAGCTCTACAGCAGATCTTCTTGCTGTTTGATGTTTTAACTACATTTGAACATTTCTGTCCAAAGACTGCCTGCTTCCATTTTCCTTTCCTCAATGCTCGTCCTTATGAACAGAAAAAAAATGGGGAAAAAAAAATCAATGAACATGAGCGTGTCCACTCCGCTACGTTGCCAGGTTGTCGGTCAAAACAGCTTTTCAGAGCTGTGGCAACACAGAGCACACAGGCATTGTCTGTCCCATTGATAAAAACTCAGAATGCTGACTCTGCTGAACTGCAGCCAGCCTAACGGCATCTACGTCCGGTCTGCAGCAGCTAGTAGCCCCGAACCCCGACAACCTGCCCAAACTGCCCCTGAAGCGTCCCGACCCCGGCTGCCCGGCCCAGTTGCTCTTGGCCTGTGGGTGCATGGAGCGGCTAAGCCTCTGTGCTGGCCGGCCAAAGCCCTGTAGGATTAGATTAATTCAGGCGGCGGGAAGCCACTGGTGGTGAAACAACAGGCATGGGAAGTGACCTTTAGATTTACATTAGAATTCACTCTTAGATACAAATAAGACTTACTGTATCAGTGTACTGTATACATCTGTGTAAAGGCTTCTTTAGAGATACACTACATGAGACATGACATTTATTTAGACAAGATGAAAAAGTGCACTCGTGGAACAGTAGGTTGAAAATAAACTGCCATTTTGGATTTGGACATCATGGCCTCCTCCGGCCTTTAAAGAGGAGCTTGCCAGTTAGAATCCAAAGGCCAGAATTGCTCCACATGAGCTGGTCAGCAGTGGCCCTGAAGATGTAGCTCCAGCATTGGACCCAAACTTCCAGATATGAGCTGGACCAACATGGCTGACACTGGGCAGGTCCTCGCAAGGCCCAGAGACAATATGAGTTCACTAGGGAGTTGATATAAATTGAATGCAGTTTCAAGATTACATAAATAAGTGAAATAAATATTAGTCTTACAGTTTCAGGTGCTGCTTTTCCTTTGACTTGAGCAGTTTATATTTGTAGAATGTTAGTGAAATGTTTGCACCCAGACCATACATTCTCATCTCTGTTAGTTGTTGTTGCTCCACTGACTCTGGGCAGCATTGTTTCTAAATCTGCCCTCCGTCCAACCACACAGGCAGAACAATACAGCAGCATTATGTCACTGACGGACTGACAGAGTCGATATGTGTGTTTCTGTTTGATGCATTATCACTCAGGTAAAAGCCGTCTGTGTCTTTAGTTGGCTTCCTGACCTCATTGTCTCCATCATGCCCTCCTCTCCGCCCGCCACGGTTTGTTTTGGCAGCTCCGAGTGTCTGCTGTGTGAGTGGCACTGGGTCGCACCAGGGTCTGGACCTAGCGGTGCCCCCCCATCCTCAGGCCTGATTCTGCTGACGGGGCCCAACCCACCATGAGATAATGCCATTCCAGAGGGATCGTGGCTAAAGCCTCTCTTTCTGGCTCTCAGGCATATAAAGAGGAGGCAGCTGCAGAGTGGAGGACAAAGCACCCTGGAACCATTCTTCACTAACTGCTTCTGATCATCACTCTGTTCTCGATTCTCAACTCCGCTCCTTCACCTGCTGGACTCTGAGCTGAGCGTCTGCCAACCTGAGCCAAACCAAGCCAAACCAGACCAACCTGTCTCCAGTCATTATGGATATTGCCATCCAGCACCCCTGGTTCAGACGTGCCCTGGGCTCGGTCTACCCTGCCCGACTCTTTGACCAGTTTTTCGGAGAGGGCATGTTTGACTACGACCTCTTCCCCTACACCACCTCCACCATCAGCCCCTATTACAGACAGTCGCTGTTCCGCAACTTTTTGGATTCTTCCAACTCCGGCATCTCTGAGGTAACAGGATCACATCACGACTCTGACACCATTTTCACTGTGGACAAACATGTATTCAGAGAAGGACTGTTATTTAACACTTAGATATTTGTGTCCTGATTTTCTCCAGCTTGAGTTTAGTTACACTGAAACATAACTGTAGTCCACACAGTTCAAAGTCATGAAACTAAACTCGTGACTTGAGAAGCTGAAGCTCTGCTATGATACCGTGGACCCTCTCTGTGTTTGTGTGTTCTTCAGGTGAGGTCTGACAGGGATAAGTTCACAGTCTACCTGGACGTCAAGCACTTCTCACCTGATGAGCTCAGTGTGAAGGTCACCGATGACTATGTGGAGATCCAGGGCAAGCATGGAGAGAGACAGGTAGAGCGCCTCTTCTACTGCACGTGCACACACCACTTTAATCACAACTGGTAGGACTGCGAGGAAGTCTAGACCTCTACATGCACACAAGTGACACACCTAAAGATATGCAGCAGTGGGACAGCAAAAACACTAAAGAAAAACACTGCATCGTACTGAATATGAATGTAACGAAAACTGGATTTAATATACTTGACATGATGCAGGGGCTGGGTCAGGTGATGCATGTGTTTTTTACAGAGCAGCAACAGTATGCTCAGCTTTGACATCCCATTTGTTCCAACTGTAATACACCTCTGCTCACTTTGAACCATTTATCCTGTATTGTGAGTGGAGAAGAGGAACCCAAGCTGCTGGATTTAGGCAATTAGAACAATGCAAACTGTATTATGTGGGAATTTAAGCTGCCTGTGATGCTGATAATCACACAATATCTTCATCTGTCCCTACTGGGCTCAGTGTATTTCAAATTTCTACCAATTGCCAACACAACAGAACGGAGACAAACAGCAAAGTCAGTCCAGGGTTCATTTTACTCTACAGAACTAGACAAGAAAATCAAAGTTCTACCAGTTAATGAATAGTTCATGGGTGATAACCTTATGACACATCATGAAGACAGCTCCTACTCTTCTAACACGCTTTCCATTATATGTCCCAAAACAATGTAGAATAACTCTGGATTCTGTCGCCAATTCATCTCTTAGTCTAAGGGCTCCTTGTTAGCAAGATGACCCAGTTTTATCAGAACCTCTCTCTGGTGTAGGTCCTGATTGCATTTCCAAATGATCCACTTTTATCCAAGGTCACTGTTTGTCTGTTTTTCTGAAGTCCAAGTGTAAGATGTAGAGTTTGTCCATCCCTCTACTCACCCTGATGTTTTTCAGGACGACCACGGTTACATCTCTCGTGAGTTTCATCGCCGCTACCGCCTCCCCTCCAGCGTTGACCAGTCAGCGATCACCTGCACCCTGACAGCTGATGGCATGCTGACCCTGAATGGGCCAAAGGTCACAGGGGGGAGCGAGTCCGGACGCATCGAGCGCAGCATCCCCGTCACCCGTGACGACAAGCCCAACGCTGCTGCGTCCTCCTAGAGGCTAAGTGACGGTGGGGGTGACCAGGGTATTGATGTGGCTCGGGCCCCCCCCCAACAACTTGCATCGACCGGGATGGACGACCACAGAATTCTTCTTCTCCCTTTCCCTTAGAGGATATCTGTGTCCTCCTCGCTTCACTTTCTGTAGTTTCTTCTTAGCACTCATACAGTATTATTAGTATCATTGTTTGAGTATAACAAAAATCAGCCCATGAGGGTGGTTAAGTGAGGGGCGGCGGGAGTTTTTAAGGAGAAACGTCATCTAAGGACGAGACATTCACACGACCTGACACTTCATTCTGCTGATTGTCGTTGATTTGTTTCAGAGCGAGCCCTCTGACAGTACAGATAGTTGGGGTTAAGCTTGGAGGTAAATGTCTCACATGTCTTGTCCCAGATAATCCATCAGTAAAGTTCTCTGAGGCCCTGGCTGCTTTCATTCTTGTGCTGACTCTGAACCCTCTCCTCTTTTGTCTTACATATATCCTGTACTGTAGTCTAGGCCTTGTTCAATGGATACCTGCTCATGACTGAGAAGTCCATACTAAAGAAACATATAATAAAGCTGTACAATTAACCAAAGGCAACTGCTGTGTGCATTTATTCTTTACTCTTCATCAACTTTCAGCTTTATCAACAGATGAGCAAGTGCTTCAGACTTTGCAAATGTGTCACCGCTCAGACACTATGAGGGACATTACATAAAGTCAAACAATGTCAAAGAAAAAGCCTTTGTTTACTTTTTGGCCAAAAAAAAAACTATGATGATGGATTTCAGACGTATCAGAGAACTGTCATGGGACGTTTCTACGAAAACACAAAGACTGCTGTGCTGAGACGGAGTGCAAACATCCAATTTAATGTGTGTAAACAAACCTGTATGTAAGACGGTAGCAAAACACGATACTATGAACAAATCAGAATTTAAACAGTGAACAATGCTGGTAAAAAAGGTTACAAAAGTTTAGACATAGAAAACTTGGAAACTTTCCTCTCTCCCTTTTCTTCTCACTGCACATGGAGCACAAACACAGAACGGTCCAGCATTACATGAGGAGAGTTTAACATGAGGAGGACTGGACTGATGATGAAGGATCTGCGTCAGACACTGTTCTGTTTACTTCCCCGGCCCTGAAAACACACAGCCTTCACTTTAATGCTCCCACACACACACACAAGAATAGCTCACTAAACAGCCAAAAATGTTTTTGATGAGTGATGCATAAGAATGCATTTTTAAAAGAATCGATAAAATGACACATTTCACCAGAGCCAGAATCTGCATAAACAGAGAGCATTGACAGATTTTCAACTTTTCGATGGTCCTTGAACTGGACATGTGTGACGTTGGGCTGCTCTCGCATGAGTAGGACTCTTATATGCGAGCAAGCAAGTACATCATATGCACCGGTGAAAGGTTTATGCTGGTTGTAGGAGAGCCTCAAAGACAATTCCCTTTTTTGTAGCATGCAGCCAACAAGGTATTTTATTTTATTTGTCTATATTTTACTCTAGTATAATGTTAATTGACATGTTGTGCATGCTATTGTTTTATGTTAAGCTAACATGGTCGATATTTCTCGTTAATGTGTGTTTAGTTTTCATGGATGATCTGGAGAGAAGTCTTCGAATAACTCAGTCGCAGGAAAACCACTTGTGTCCGCCTGTGCTTCCAGGGAATTACACTTATCTTATCATGTTGACTGAGGTACCTGCTGTAAGGCCTTCAGGTCATCCATCGTCTGCTGGGCAGCCAGTCTGAGGCTGGGCTGCGCACTGGAGGTGAGCCAGATGACACGAGCGTGAAGGTCTGGATCCAGCAGAGAGGAGCTCAACATCAGCAGCACGTCGTCCTCCAACATCACCGACTGCAGGAGACGCAGGGAGTGGAGACACACCTCCCAGTGTCCATCTGTCACACAAACAGAGAACACAGCTGGATTATTTAGCAGTATGATCTGTATGAAACTTATTGTCCCCAAAGAAGACTGTTGTATTTGGTTTTGGTCTTTGCAGGATCATTTTCACACAGCCTCATTCACAGTTCTCCACTAGGTCTTTCTCACTGCAGAAATTTTGACTTGTCATAGCAGGAAATGTGTTAGTAATCTCATTAACAGTGGTTCTGTTCTATTCAAGTGTCCCAGCAAGTCATGTCAGTATGAAAGTAAGCCAGCACGCGCAACAGCAAGAAATGAAACTGAATTCAGACATCATTTATTGAATTGTTTAAAACGGTCATTTTGCTGCTGGTACATGTCAAAATGCACTCTGGAAAAGGGCTGCGTGTCTTACAATATCACCTTCATGTTACATTAACTGTTTTTTTTTTTGAGAACAGAGCAAGATGTGGCTGCTTTTTTTAGACTACCAAGCTGAATTTACTTAAATTAAAAATAATTCATCACTTAAATGTCAGACAGAGTTAGTCATAGATCAAAAATATGTTGCTTTAAAACTTTTTAGAGCTTGGTCTTAACAGGAAACACTATAATTTAGCATTTTAGAATCATTTATAGATCCATCCATCCATTATCTATACACCGCTTAATCCTCACTAGGGTCATGGGGGGCTGGAGTCTATCCCAGCCGACTTAGGGCGAAGGCAGGGGACACCCTGGACAGGTAACCAGTCTATCACAGGGCTACACTTAGAGACAGACAACCAAGCACACTCACATTCACACCTACGGACAATTTAGAATCACCAATTAACCTCAACATGTTTTTGGACTGTGTGAGAGGAAGCCGGAGAACCCGGAGAGAACTCACGCTGCACGGGGAGAACATGCAAACTCCACGCAGAAAGATTCCGGTGCCCCCACCGGGACGCGGACCGGCAATCATTTATAGATGTCAGAATTTTGTATTTTTTTTTATTGATGACTATCTTAAGGGCAAACATATAAATTCCATGTTTCTACTGTGTTGTGTTGCACATGGCTACTGTAAAACAGACAAACAAAAACAACAACAAGCATATACTAGGTCAATAAAACTTTAAGACAAAGAAAAAAAAACATCTTATAAAGACAAAAAACATTGAACAACAATAAACCATTAATAAAGACAATAATAATAGAATAAAACATCCAAGAAGCATTATACAATTGTAAGATATAAAAAAATAAAGTGTCCTTACCATCCAGCAGGGTCCAGATGAGAGGCATCAGTCCCTGGTTCCCACTGATGTACTTCAGTCCTTTGACATTGATACTCACATTGTAAAGAGCCATCAGCATCAGCCTGCAGCAAAACAGCACCAGAGTGAGTTTAACCAGAGTACTATTGTGTACTGCAGAGGTACAGCACTGACACCTGCTGCCCACAGCTACACACTAACATGCCTGGATGCATCTCTAAAATCCTTCTCTTGTGCTTTTAAAAGGTCAAGAAGTACTGAATGTGTGCACAGATGGAGGCTGGTCAGCACTATAAAGTCCAATAATGTTCATGCAGATCATGTCCAGGTTAGTATAAAGCTTTTGATCAGAACACTCAGGTATTCAACAGTATACTATAGTAAGGATACATATTTCATGTTGAGGCTGTGAAAGAAGTTGTGTATTTAAGGCCTTCTGTGGTAGAAAATATAAGCAGAAGTCAAACTAGCAGAGCTTTCTGTGATGTATTCTATCAGAGCTCCACATACACTTTGAGTTTGGGGAAGACTCCAGGCTTCATCAGCTCCAGAAGTTTCATCAGAGTGTCCAGTAAGACGTGTGCTGAGCTGGACAGCAAGTCCCGCCCACAAGCCACTGCTGCTATGTCTGATTGGTGGGAAATAAAGTGAAGTCAGGTGATTGAGGGACATCTGGTCTGGAGACAATGAAACTTCACAAATGTCTGGGATGAACCAGACCTGTGCAGAATCGATCTTCACAGTAAAATGCACGTCGGTTAGATTTCAGTCTGACTTGGTCTCGACTTGCTCTGATGTCATGATGATGTATTTATACACAGCTGCTAATTGATCTGATGCTGATGTACATGAGAACTCTATGTGAAATGGAGGCTGAACCATGAACACACATCACCAATCACCTGCACATTCTTTCAATCGGCTGCTATGTCATAATCAGAAACTGTGTTGAAACTGATGAGTCTAACAACATTTTAATAAATGCACGAACTGTTTCTGTCTGTCTTGCCTGCCTGCCTCCTGCTGATACCTCTTGATTTAATCCGCTTTACAGGCGAGGCCCATTTCATCTCAAACGAGCCTATTTTCAGTTTATGCTGCATTTAGCCACCGAGACATTTGATAGAATGACAATGCCACGATTGTTCTACATCAAATGCTACTCTGCACCCATTTTAAATGCCTCTGTGCTGTGTGACGTTGGCACAGTGACTTGTGAGCTGCATACATATTAACTGGTGTCCAGAAATGAGATTCACACCTGAGTCATGAGTTGCTGTGACTCCAGGCAACAATATGTTGTATAAAACTTACTAATGTACAGGAGGCGACCAATAGAAAAGGTGTGCAAATATACTCACTAGTAATGGTCCCAGCCAGCGCCAACACAAACTGGTGCTCATGGGAGTTGTGGTCCTCAGTTTGAGTCTTCATCTCTTCATCCAGAGAGCTAACAAAGCTCTCTAGAGTCTGAGCAGCTACAGTCAGGAAGGACTGCAGCTTCCCCTGCACCATCAGCACACACAGCACAACTCCAGCAGTCAGCTGGGTCACAGATCACATTTGTGACAGTTAAGTGCGATACTCTGTAATGATTTTACTTGTGGAGTCGACTCACATCAGCCAGCCACAGCGTGACCGTGTCCTCTCTGGCAGAGCAGCTCCACAGCAGACTGCAGGCTGCAGATCCCAGACCGGAGCAGAAGTCGGCCTGCTGCTGCAGCTCAGTTCCACTCTGCCACAGCTGCTCACGCAACAACAGCTTGTCCTAAATGAGTCCACACACAAATGGTATTGCACAGTAAGATGGCCGTATAAAATAAAACAATGGGAGAGGTAACGCCAGACAGACAGTCTTCATCCACTAAGTGCAGTATTTTGGTACCATATGCTATCTGTATCTCTATAGAAGCAGAGTGATCTCTTTTTTCAGTACTTCCAGTCAGACACTGTGCTGCTGCTCCTCTCTCACCTCCCTCTCTCTCTGACATTCAGTCTGTACTGCATCCAGCCGGGACTGAAGGTGAAGACACTCCTGTCGCAGCTGCTCTTGTTCCTGCACAAGATGCTCCTTCACTTCACACAAACATTCACACGGAGGTTTGTGGGTCAACCAGGTCAAGTCATATATATATACACTGAAAATTAACTGGAACTTTACTCACTATAGACTCCAACTACCAGCTGTGTTCTGCATACACATTTAACAACATGCTAACACTAGCATGCTGTGAGACAATTATATAACCTATGGAACATTATTTATTTTCTGTATTACTAAACACAACCTAGCAACAAAAAAATGCAAACTTTAAAAAGCTTAAACAGAATAACCTTAGCACAAAACTTCCATCAGCTCTTCCATAACACCTTATAACAGTCGTTTTCAGAAGGCATGGCATTATGAAAACAATTTAAATCAACAGTGCAGTAACCACTAGCAAACTGTAAGAATGAAAGCTTAAAAACACTAGTGTTAGATTAACAGGCCCCAAAGTACAAACCCAGTGGAACACCTGTGATCACTGATTGGAAAGTTAGAAAACCTGTGAAACAACATTAAATGCAGCTGTGATTTCCAAACATCCTGGTAGCATGGACATAGATACTGTGATGGAATTTCTGCATTTTACTGGGTTTACAATGTTTTACTGCTGACACTGGGTATGTTATTCTTATTGCATATTTCACATCCACTCTGGTTTGTGCACAGCAGGCCCAGTATGACCTTGGTGCCTTATCTTGTCTTTCTCACGGATGTTAACCAGAGGGCTCATATCACAGCAGGATGAGAGGAAGATAAGCTCACACAAACAATTCTTGTTGGTCCAACGGTTAGACAAAACTGAGAGGTGGCACTATATGTAGAAATACCTTGTCAAAGGAGGTAACTGTATCATGAAATATTAACGTGCAGGTGATGTTTGATGCCACATACAACCAACTAGACGAATATTTTACTTTGTTTTACATATGAAATATGTGACACTGTATGAAATGTCTATCAATATAAACTCTAGTTATTCTTGTCTTACAATCAGCAGACAATGCACATAAAGCGAGCACAACATCTACTTTTATATATCAGTTTCTGTACAAAGTAGATGTAAAAGTAGGTGAAGTGTACTGGGAACATACTTGTCTGACTTGTTCGGGCTTTTTGCAGCATTTGAATCAGTTCCCCGTTCAGAACTCGAGGCAGGAACTCTCTGAGCTGCATGACTTCTGTGGTTAACTTCTCTAAATCTCTTTTCCGCACTCTGACAAAACTATCCTGAGGGAAGAAAAAAAAGGTAAACAACCTCAATGACAAACAAAACTTTAAAAGGTAGGAGCTGTGTGACCAAGTGAGATACTAAACACATTTATGAACAGGAAACAACCTGATAGAATACAAAATCTAATGTTTACATCAGATTACAAATTTCAAGAAAAGGGAGATTTCATTGCCAGATCTAAATCAGCTATGTATAGACTGCAGAGGCTAACATGTCTACAAACACAATGTCTGATTTGTGAAACTTATTAAATTTGTGAACATACAAAATAAAGATAATATATCTAAATGTTTTAGGTCTGGACCTGGTCTAATGGGGTCCACACACAAAAAACAGTCAAAACCAGACAATATTGTGTTGAATTGAACTGGGGACAATACAATAGAAAGCCTGAGTGCTTGAATTTGTCCTTGATACCAGTCTGAACAGATGTGCAGGATGCTAGTTTCTGTCAGTGACTGTTTACCTGTTTTACGTTTGATCCATGATTCACAACCAGTGACTTCTTGCCTAATAATGCTGCCATCTTACAGTCGGTGTGTTGAGGGTCTTATTCGGCTTCTGTTGATGACTCTTAGGAGACTGTTGGGTTGTCTGTAGAACAAATAAACTGTAACATCCGTCTGTTCAGCACAGGATTGTGATAATGTAACAGCCACACATCTGCCACCAAAGTTAGCATGATAGCAAAGTTAGCTTAAACTTGTTTCAGTGTTAAACGTGTTTGTACAGCTAAACAGCTTTGAGTTGTTCAGTGAAAAATATATAATTACTAATATTTTTTACTTTGTAAAAGTAAAACTTTTGAAAAGTGCCATATAAGTACTGTGTATTATTATTATTATTATTTTAAAAGAGAATTACTTACATATTGTTCCTCACATGTGATCATGTAACTGCTATACCTGAGCAACCAAAGCTAACATGATAGCACGGTTAGCTAAAACACGTTTCACTGTTAAATATTTATACAGGTAAGGAGCTTCGAATAATACCTAAATTACTTATATTTTTTAAAAAGAGAATTACACACATATTCTTCCTTAATATTCTCCCTTATTTGAATTTTCTCCATGGGATAAATAAAGTTATTTGAATTAAATTTGATAATGTGACAGCCATAAATTAGCCACCAAAGCTAGCATGACAGCGCAGTTAGCTAAAACACGTTTCAGTGTTAAATGCTTATACAGCTAAAGAGTTTCGCATTGTTCAGTTAAACATTAGATAATTATTAAATTACTGATATTAAGTAAAGTGAATTACACACACATTTTTTCCCCTTTCTTCCTTCACTGTGATAATGTGACAGCCATAAATTAGCCACCAAAGCTGGCGGAACAGTTAGCTAAAACATGTTTCATTGTTAAATGCTTATACAGCTAAAGAGCTTCGTTGTTCAGTTAAACACAGATAATTACTAAATTACTAATATCAAATAAAGAGAATTACGCACAAATTATCGTGCTTACTTGTGAGTATAATTTCTAGCTCTCCCTCCGACCTGTAGGTGGCACGGCGGCGGAATGTTCCTGACCGGTTTTTAGCCGAAACCGTGTAAACTAACGGAGCGCCGCGGTAGTTGGACTCCAGTCCGGGTTTTGTGATGCCCCCCAGACGTGCAGAGAAGCTTATCTCCTCTTCCTTTGTGTTTGAACCTCCTCAGTCTGCTCTGGGACCGGGAACACAGGAGAGAAGCACCTCTGCCTGCCGCTCATGTCTGTGGAAGTAGAACCAGACTTCTCCGGCGATGAGGTGTTCATCCGCCGGTTCCCCGTCCACCGAGCCTGTCGGGACGGGGACGTCGGGGCGCTGCTGTCACTGTCAAACCAGGCTCATCTGACGGCTGAGGACTCCTGCTACGGATGGACCCCCATCCACTGGGCTGCTCACTATGGACAGGTAGGGATTAGGATAGCAGCTAGATTAAGGGATTTAGGCTAAAGGTTTTCCTCACAAAGAGCAAAACTCACTGAGGGAGGATATTCGTCATGGCAAACTTTACCCCCACTTAGTAGTCATTTTAGCATACTGCTGTCAACTTTGCAACTTGGTCTCGTAATAATTTTACTGTAAAGTCGCAGCTAGCACGTAGAAACGTTATTTAATAGAAACATTCAGTGTTATAAGTGCTGCCCTAATACAGTCATGTCTGCTTGTTGCTCTAATAAAGGTCTCATGGGAGAAAAAAAAAAAGTAAAATAACGGCTTTGAGCGTTTTAATTGGTTCCAGTGTAGCCAATCACCGCTCAGGCGCCAAACATTCGCCAGGAAACCCGGAAGTGTTCATGTCTTTTATGATTCGGTACCTGACGCCATCCTCTGTTTTGATTTGTCAGTTTGTATTGTGCCATCCCACCTGTAACGCCAGCAAAAGGAACAAGGAAGAGACAAAAAATAAATGGAATCATAATATAATAAAATAAATGAAAATCAAGATAAATTTAAAAAATAAAAAAAGGAAATATGGGTTCATCCATATGTACACAAGAGGTCAGTGAATATTTTCAGCTGCTTATATGGAGTCTTCTCTTTCATTCATTTGAAAGTGCTGGGATAACTATCCACAATGTTTCTTCTCCATTTGGATTAAAAATGTTGCCAGCAGCATCAGGTTGTTCAGTATCAAGTCACACCTAACGTCCCTCCAACATTTCCTCCTGTGAGAGGAGCAAGTCGTAGGATTTTGGTTGACAGCCAGTCCTGCAGAATCTCCCTAGAAGCATACAAAATTAGACACCCGAGCTTCAGAGCTGTCATTTAAAAGTGATGTTTACCGAAAATGACATGTTGCGCAGCTCCATCTTCTGTTCATTTTGTTCGAGCCTGCTGCTGTTATTTTATCTCTATAAAATGAGCAGAACAGTATCTTTGAGTGATTTATATTGTATGCACAGATTTGTCAGTCCTGCTCCTGATGTGGCATATTCCACATTGCATTTTAGGAGCTGAGATGTCCTTCAAAATGATCCTATCAACTAAACCTGTTGCTCCTGCACCTCTCAACCCCATAGTGGCTCACGTGTTACAGGATAATTGGAGATGTTTTCCAAACAAAGAGGCTCTTTCAGTTTTACACTTGCCCCTGACATGCGATGGTTTACCTGCATCTCTGTTACCTGCAGCTGTTTTGTGACTATCAGTTCTGTGCTCACAGCTGGAGTGCGTGGTGCAGCTGGTGCAGATGGGATGTGAGGTGAACACGGTGACCAGCCGCTTCAACCAGACACCGACACACACTGCAGCGTTCGGAGGACATCCTCACTGCGTGGTTTGGCTGACTCAGGCTGGAGCTGACGTCAACAAGCAGGTCAGTCTGTGCAGCCACAGGTCGGATGTGTGCTATTTAAAGTCTGTTGTATATGAATTTATTAATTTGAATCTCTCCTTTGTGTGCACTACAGTGGAAAGCTATTCATATAATTAATCCAAAGCCCCAGGGATGTATTTCTAGCTTCATTCAGTTCATGCAGATAAACCTTATTTGCAGATAACATTTCAGAAAGTTAGTAATACAAAAAAAAATCTGTTAATGTAAGTAGTCAACTGGGGAAGTTTCATGGTGATGCAATTCTTGTGCTAAAAAGCGTATCTGATATATCAACACAAGTCTGCTCAATGAAAATAGGACTGGTTTTATTCATGTAGATAATAGATGCTTCCTCTGGAAATAGATTTGTTAGTTAGTGAACCTGAATAGATGAATATTCCATCTCTCCTTGCAGGGTTTCATTCTATCTAAAGATGTTTTTTTGGAAGAGACACAACACCACAGTAGTCCTATTGTTGCTTTTCCCAGCATCGTTCTCTAAGTGTTTACAGTTATTTTCATCAAACCTAATTAAAGTTTCAATGTAATCCTGCAGCTACGCGTAAATACACACATCCTTATATCCACTTCCAGCCTCAGACTGCTCAGTAACTTGCTTGTATACTATTGTACGCTATTTAATTTAAATATGCAATGCAGTAGCCTTCATTATCATCTGGATCTCCACAGACTTTTCCATTTTGTTTTCAGGACTTTGTAGGTGAGGCTCCCATTCACAAGGCAGCTCGCTCAGGTAGTTTGGAGTGTGTCCAGGTTCTGTTGATAGCAGGAGCGAAACCTCAGTAAGTATCCTGCCGTCCGTCCTGTGTGCAGCAACACGACAGCTCTGTTACACTGAGTGTGAACCACAGCAGCAGCTCAAGTCTGTTGGTGCCACTAAAACCAAATCATTTCTGACCATCCAGAGTTGGATCAGAACTCTACAGGTGACTTTAAAGATATTCTGAATCATTAAGAGCCTGGATTTGAACCAGCAGCCTTATATTTTGTTTTTTTACTTTGCTGTCGTACTTCCTGGCTTTGCAGATGTTTTGCTGCTGCTGTGGTTTGGATGTATTTTCCGTCTGCTCTTGTCACATCAGCTGTTTGGGAGAAAACAGGCCACGACGGTTTACTTTCGACTCTGGTACAGTCATTTGTTGGTGGTTTCATTATGAGTAATGTCGTTTCACTGCAGTGTAGCGGAGAAATTCACCACTAACATTTCCCACACAGTGTCTTACTGTCTTTTGTCACTTGTTTGTGTCATTTCTGGCATAAAGAAGCTTATTGGTCAAATAAAAATTGACCAATTTGTGAATGGCTTTGAATAATTTTCCTATAAGTGTAAATGGACCTTTATTTAAGATATTAACTCTCGCTTCTCAAAAGAGTCTTAAACACAGCAACCTGCCCTGAGATTAAATGGAATTATTAATTGACCTGACAACATAACAACAAGTTTATCTCCCACAGACACTACAGGATTTGCAGAGGTGTAGAAATACTCCAGATATTTCAGCGTCCGTTCTCTTCCGAACCAGCTGATGTGAAGAGGATTCTTACAGTTGAGGCATATTCCACACAGAGTTTATTGTAGCTTGACTGTGATGTTATTTGTGTGTGTGTTGTGTTTTCTTCAACAGCTGCACAGGTAAAATGTAATATGATAGAGATAGGCAGTGAAAATGTGGACATGATGACACAAGCGGAAAAGCTCATGTGTTTCTATTTAAATAGAAAGAGTTCTTAATTTTGTAGAACTATATTACACCACAAGCTTATTGTAGGTCTTTGGTTTCTCTTGAAAACAGATTCTGCGGTCTATCTTTATGTATTTAGGCAGAGCTCCTTTATGCCTGTTGTGTCCAAATTAAATATTGATGCATCAGAGATAATCCTTTAATTGATATTCCTCAAAATAAGGAAATAAAATGCGTGCACAGGGGGCACTGTTGCATACATGTTAGCTGTACAAGTGTTTGTTATTCAGTCTTTAAATTGGGTGAAAGAAATACCAAGTATCTCATAGTATTCTAGTACCTGAATTTAAACCCTAAAACTCGCCAAAGAGTTTGAAATACGTGTTATCTTTGCAAATTCGTTGTAGTGAAACCATTTGTGACAAGACATTGTAGAAACAGAACTGTTAGACTTTTAACTTAACCATATGTCACGTGTGTTTCCATCTGTTAATTTAACCAAAACTAAGCTTAAAATAAAACATTTTTGGAAATATTTTCTTAAAAAGTTTTTAAATCTTGATGAACAATCAAGTCAACGTTTCTTTTTTTCTGTAACTGTGTCATGCTGCCCAAAATACATTTGAGTTTTCTCTCCTTGTAGTCAAGGTTATATCCACAGAGGTGCAGGACTTTATATCGCATTTAAAAAAAAAAAAAAAAAAATGAGCCAACAGTGACGAGAAATATAACAGGGGAAAAAAGTCACAAAACCGCTTGAGGTCCAGAGGGCTAGAAAAGAACTGAAACATCTGTTAATTATCAGATACTTGACCTTAACCGCAGTTTCTTTAAAGACAAAACAACATCTAAAGTGTCCAAAGAAATATGTTACATCAATCCCCACTTTAAACCAGTAATGACGTATAAATAAGCGTTTGCTAACATAACCTTATCAGCTGATAATGTGTCCATGTCAGGATTTTTGTGCTGCTCCAAAGCAGCCAAATAATCACTGACTCCTCAGATTTTCTGCAATTCTAATGTCTCATTTTTATTGAATCTAACTTCAAGAGAAATCAAAGCAGTTGTGGTTGATTTGGACATGAAATCTGTCATTAAATATGCATCATGAGCTTTTCAGCAACATAAAAGATGATGTGTAGAAATGTAGTTTTTGTTTTTTTTAACTAACACTGTGTGATTGATCCTTACATACAGTATGTTACATTCTGAAGTCAATATTTAGGTTTGCTTTTGTCTTCTAATAATGTAAAGTAAGGATAACCATGAGCTTCATTTTTCAAACTGTGCTGGCAGAGACAAACACCCTGCACGTTCTGATGTTTTGCAGCCATTGAATTTGAACATGATTTTCTCGAGTAATCCCAGAAAGAGGGAGCAATCCAAATAGGCACTGCAGAATCTGCCACACGTGCATCTGCGAGCATCTTACACTTGTGGCAATGAGTGCTCACTATCGCTTCCTACAGTTTCTGCAGCTGGCAAACTGGCGAGGTATTTCCTGCAGTGATTGGTTACAATGCTAAGAAAGCACTGATGATTATGATAGTCATGTCTAGGCCTGCATGTTTAGCTTACAACTGTTTTCAGACACTGTGCCAACAAACTGAGCTTCATGCCGACACCTCAGGAGTTACCGTAGAAATCACAGTCAGTCTCAGTTTAGGGAATATTGTGCTGTAGCTGAGGGATAGGAGCAAAATAGACATGAAATATGTCAAGTTTAAAGCATGTCAGGAGGTAGATGAAATGAAATGCTTCTTTTAGGACTATTCCAGCAAGACTGTATTAAAAATACAGGCCCCAACCAAACACACTGTGATCACTGAAACAAAATTGAGCACAATTTCCAATCAGCCGACTGGTTGTAAAATGAACACCAGAACTTTCTCAGTGTGTTCTGAGCAGATAGAATCCAGCATGTTGTGTGAACCTGACAAAGTGAGGTGGGAGTGTGATGATGTGCCGCTAACGGTCCATTTAGAGATGGAACCATGAATACCTGTGAACATACCAAAAAAATAAATCAGCTTACTGACTTTTGTTGCATTGAGTGGGGCCTGTGTTTTTAATATCGAACTCTAAACTGTTGGTTAGATCAGAGCTAATACCCTAAGTATGATAAATGGAAAGAATAGATGATAAACTTTTAAATCATTTGAAATTTAAGCAACATTACACAGAGGTAAATATACTGTATATGTGATGTATATTATTTTAAAAATGAATATTCAAATATTGATTGGTACTTTAAATTTTTTAAAAAAATAGTTTTGTTGGTCCTTTTAATTTGTCTGATGTTGAGGAGGATAAATTATATGTGAATGTGATTGTTACAGAGCCAAGTTAGAAGACATGTTATTTGATGTAAGTGAGTTAAATGAACTTATGCAACTAATATCTCAGTTAACAGGACTGTGTGTCTTTGTACTACAAGAATAGATTGTTAGCTTTTGGCCATACAATTTTTAATTAGAACAAAGTATAAATACTTAATTTCTTGACATATTTCAGTTTTCTTTTAGTGTAGCTGCAGACATGTTCACATTCTGAGCAGTAAGGTACAGTTTATCAACCAAGCAGTGAGATTTTAGAGAAAAATGAATGTGTTGCAGGAGAAGACTGTCAAGACCACACTCAGTAGATGTTGTTATTGTTTACTCGGCTGTCTGGCGTCATTTGATGCCTCTTGTTTGGTCATGATGATCTTCCCCTGCAACATTAAAGATGTCTTATATATACCAGATTGTTAGAGATGAAATACTCTGACGTCCGACCCGAAGCAGTTTGTCTCACTTCTCTCCTGTTGTTTAGTTTAAGGAATGCCAGTGGGCAGACGGCAGCAGACCTGGCACATGCTCACGGTTTCCACGACTGTTTCTGCTTCATCTCCAACGCCCAGAAGCACCTGCAGCAGCTTGGCGGCCTCCATGTGAACGGAGCGCAGAATGGAGGCGGCGCCCCCTGTGGTCAGGGTCTGTTCAGCAGGAAGAGGCAGCTGAACGTCGCGGACGCTGGTCACATGAAGAAAGCCAGGAGAGCTGATGGTAAGAAAAGTGTCGACTCTTTGTATGTAATGTTGTTCTACTACATGCTGTGAGCCAAACTATGATATAATAAAGAGATGTTTCCCTGTTACTGGTACAATAAAAGAGCAAATTGTGCTGTACTTTCATAGAACTTTAAAGATTCAGAATTATATCACCTTAAAGTAAGAAGTCTCACAGTATTTGCTTCAAAACTACCAGTTTAGATTTAAATTACTGGGATTCAAATCTTTTATTTTATCAATCTTTCGTACATCCACCTTTGGCATCTTTCTAAAGTCCCACAGTCAGATTTTTTTAAGTTCAAATCATCTTTAGTGGGCTTCTGGGTGTGTAGTTCAAATCTAGTATCACGCTGATCAGTGCACAGCAGTACATGACATCAGAAATCTCTTCTAATCAGCACGTTCAGCTAGAAAAGTGCTTCTGTAGAACCCCGCCACCCTCATGGAAGAGACTGGTGCTAATTAAGAGCTTTAAACATAACATATGAACTGGCTGCCTTCTGCTGCAGGTGTGTTGCACATTCAGAGCAGTGCAGGTGAGGAGATGGAGAGCATGAACACTGAGTGTGCACAGGAGCTCAGCACAGGTGGGTCCCTAGTTTTTTTAGTATCTATTTTTTCATGTACTTTGGAATAGATTTCATTTCATTCTTTGTTTCTAAAAAGCAGACGACAGTGCCAAAACTGACAGACATCATCACATCCTGCCTTCTGCTGCCCCGGTTCACCCAGAGCCGCCCGACAGCCGTCTCCCGCCGTCCTCCCCTCCAGTCCTTCACCATCCGGCAGCTTCTCCTCAGCGGCCTTCAGCCGACATGTGCGGCTCGCTGCATCTGACCAGCAGCCCCACCAGCTGCGTGTCCCACCGGCCGGCGTGCTGGGGGATGATGGCAGCAGACTGTGTGGATTCGCTGCGTTACGGACACTACCACGGCTTTGGGGACACAGCGGAGGAGGTGAGTGACAGCAGTCGCCAGGACAACGGCGGCAGCAGCAGCAGCAGCAGCAGCAGCAGCATCCAAGCAGAGCACAGATGCAAGCAGGCAGACCACTACCACGGCTCATAAACACACACTGGTTTAGCCTCTGCATCCTCTTGTACCCTCTGAAACCTGTTTTCTGTCACATTTACTGCAACATAAAGTCCTGGAAACAGCACAACCATGAAGAAGGAGAGACAACTCGGAAATATCTTCTGTGCTGGATGACACAATCAGAAAAAATGAAAGTTGAATTTCTTTGTTTATTTTACAAGAATTTAAAAAAAAACCTGGAATCAGCATGTACAGTAATTTTAGAAAGTGCCCACAGGTGTTACCAAAACTAAGGGACTCGACATAGTATAGATATTTACTTATTTACTCGTTTCTATATTTGTCTCCCAGCTACCCCACGTAAACAGTTCTACTGAATAATCTCTGAATTTTTGTAAACTGACTGTTCACAGAATTTGCTTGGTGCAAACTTTTTAATTAATTTTTTTGAACCAAGCAGGCCTGCCTTACTGTATGATCCAAATCTTCAGCAAAACTTGATATTTTCAGCGGTTGCTGTCGTTTTCTGTAGTGAAAATGGTAACACAGATGTAGTGGAAGAAGAGGGGAAAAAATCAGATTGTAATCAGTCAGAACATAATGTTGCATGTTGAATGTGATTTTTACTCTGTGTCCAGTTTATATGGAACGGTTCTGCACCTGTGTGACTGTCAGACACTTCCTACAAGGCCAGTGCTTCTAATCTCCATACACCCTGACACAGTGTTTCCTGCACTGCATTTACTTCATTGATCTTTCCGTTCGGCTGGTTTGCACTATAAAGGGCTGCCAGGTTGGCTGATGTGTTCGTGGACAGGTGTGAGTCCTGTGAATGTGGCCTGGAACAGCTGCTCTGAAACTGAAAGTCCCAGCCAGCCTTGATCTACCAAAGGGAATATGTTATCGGTTTGTGTGTTGTGTCACTTCTGTCTAATTTGAAATATTTTATTTATGTTCTAGAGCAGGTGAATGTCTTTATTGAGAGCTGTGCTGTCATTTTGTAAAGTGTACTAAGCTCCTAGGGAATCTCTCTTGTTTTGTGGCATACAGACCATGTGCTGTCTCTCTCTGTAAACACTATGTCAGCTGTGTGCCAAACTCTGCCTTACACCAACCAGGCACTGCTGCCTTCTGACAGCTACTTTTCTACTTTGGTTTTGCTTAATAAAAACCTGTTTTACATTTTTATAAAACTGTGTGGAGGCTTTGATTTGAAAGGTCTTGTTCTTAATGCAGACGATGATGTGTTTCTAACATTGCACTGACAGAAACAATATTGAAAAAAAAAATCCTTCTTTGAGTTTATTTGATTTTTCTTTTTAAAATTTACACAGAAGCTTCTGTCTGCATGTAGACTAATTTATCGTGTTTGAGGCTCTGCAGGAAAATGTTCCCCATAATTAAGACCCAGTTACACAGTTTGAGAGCTTTAGTATACAACAGCTGTAAGTACACACCAGTGTAACATGTCTTAAATGTTAAATAACTGAAAACTGTATCACCTTACAGTGGCTGGCTTACCTCTGACAAGAACAGTAGGAACACTCCCAGATAAATATACATTTATCTTGATCTCATCTGACCAAAGAATGTGCTCCTAAACATCCCACTACAGTGAAATAAGGAAATACACGTGCATATATTTGTAAACCATTTAATACCAACTGGGAACAAACCAGTCTGCTGCTAAAACCTTTATGGTCCTGTGCCTCCATCATCAACAAGATAAATACATTTAATATATGTATAAAAAGATTTTAAATCCTAAATATAACTTTAGACAACTAATCCGCAAAATGCAGCATGCAATACAGGCTGTGCATCACAACATAATTCATTAAGAACAGCAGCTCATGTAGAAGCTCCATCATCTCCTCATATCCAGCTGAATCGTCTTCTGCAGACTGGCTATGCTGGCGTCCAGAGCTGCCAGTCCGTCTCTGAACGCTGCCTCGTCTCTGGTGTCAAAGGTCGACCCTGACTTCATGCTCCAGTCAGACAGGACAGATTCAGCGTCGCACTGGGACAGCTGCATTCGCTGCTTTTCCAGCCGCTGCCCGCATGACTGGACTTCTGGACTCTGCTGAGGTCTGACATCAGGATGTGATCGTGTGTTTTCTTCTTTCTCTGCAGCCACATGGCCTAGAGACATGAGGTACTCGGTGATGCGGTCAGTGGGGGGCACTGGTGGATCTTGCTTGTGCTTAAAATGTTGTCTTGTTTCTGACAGTGAGGAGTCAACAAGAGTAGGACAATCTGATGAACTCTGACTCTGAAGGAGCCTGAAACAAAGAGAAGAGACACGAGGCTCAGTGCTTAACTTCTCACAATGACTCATTCAGAATTAATATTTTGTAGGGATGTCCTGAACTTTAAAATGATCAATATTAACCCCAATTTTGACAGAACACTTACTTAAAATACATCAGCTCTGGCTGAAGGACATTAAGCATCACAGAAGTCTCTGTCTTTGCCAACACTGAACTGCCTGTAGTCTTATTGGAACGTACAGTGCTCTGCTTGCACAATTTTGCTAAAGGCTCCACCTGGTGGCACAACGAGGTACCACAGCTAATCTACACCACACGTTCTAACAAGCATGAAGAGAATACAGGCTTCTCGACACTACATGTCAGACAGTACCGTACTGGAGCTTTACTACAAGGTTCATGACCACCTACGTAACAATGACGAACAGTTTGGATGCAGAGCGATACAGCTGTCAAGTAAATATTGAATTGATTTTAATAAATGTATTTGAAGTGTACATTATCCATGAAAATGCGATCAGATAGGGACTTGGTATCAGCAAACACAAAAAAATAAATGAGTTGGGTTGAAATGGATCAGGGGCAAAAAGTACTCAACAGATACAGATACACTGGCTCACCTGTTGAGGTTTCCTATCTCCTCTAGTCTTTGCTGGGCGAGTGACACCAGCTCACTCTTCTCACGTTCACTGTCCAGTAGCCGGCTTCTTGTGGCCTCCAAGTCTGCACTCAGTCACATATGCAAAACACTTAGATTACATCATCCATCCATCATCTATACACCGCTTAATCCTCACTAGGGTCATGGGGGGCTGGAGTCTATCCCAGCTGACTCAGGGTGAAGGCAGGAGACACCCTGGACAGGTCACCAGTCTATCACAGGGCCACACTTAGAGACAGACAACCAAGCACACTCACATTCACATCTACGGACAATTTAGAATCACCAATTAACCTCAACATGTTTTTGGACTGTGTGGGAGGAAGCCGGAGAACCCGGAGAGAACCCACGCTGCATGGGGAGAACATGCAAACTCCACGCAGAAAGATTCCAGTGCTGGGACGCGAACCGGCAACCTTCTTGCTGCGAGGCAACAGTGCTAACCAACTGCGCCACCCTAGATTACATCATGTACCATCAAAAGTTTATGATCAACACTGACTATGGCCTCAAAAATCTGCATCACTTGGACATTAGTGCATAAAGCTTTAGTCCTACAGTATATCCAACATACTAAATAGCAAACTATGGATTAAATGAAGCTTTCCAGCTGATGAGGATAATGACTTCTCAGCAAGACTTCCATGCTATGTGATGTAAGTGAGTCAGAACCTGTCTTCATGAGTGCATTCTCTGCCTCTCGGTCTCTCAGCTGGCTCTGTGTGTCCTGAAGGGCTTTCCGTAGTTCTGTGAGGTCGTCCTGGACTTCCCGCAGTCTGGACTGAGCGGTAATGAGCTCCTCCTGCAGACTCAGTACTGTGGAGAAACACAGGAGTCCACTATTGTAACAGTCCTGACATAAATGCACAGTTCAACACAATCCCATCACTTCAGAGGACATTATATCGACTTTAATTCACTTTTCCATCTTGACTATAACCAGTATTTGCCTTAACCTCTAACTTGACTTTCTGTTAGATCCTGATTGATCCTGTCTCCATGTTGGGAATAATCCCTAATCATAAGGAATGAATGAAGTTACTGCTGACGTGAGTAAATGCGCAAAACTGTCTTGCTTTGGAGACAATCTTATGGATTGTGCTGCTGTTTGATGCTGCAGGTATTTAATACACTCAAAGAAAAAACAGCTGGAAGCAACAAACTAAACTTCTGCTTCTGTTCGTCAGAACCTGGATTGCAGTAAGTATTGGTGGGTTGATTCATTCTGATCTCTTTTAGATTTCATAGTGGTAAATTTTTATTTTTATGGACATTTAAGGTTGTAAGAGATGTGAAGTTGGAGGAAAAAGTAAATGTGTTTTTGGGATTCTGGCAACAACCTGTGTCTTTGGCAATACATCACTTCACACAGCTAGAAGTACTCGTGCCAATCTGTTACTGTGACTGCAGTCAGTTCAGACTTGTGTCAGGTTAACAGTGATACAGAAATGCTACGAGGTTCAACCTGGTGAGAAAAGCCAGCAGGTTGCTCATTCAGACATGGAGCTGAGATGTTGTCAGATTACCGGAGAGGAGCTTTAGTCTGCACCATAAAATATGATAAATTACATCATGGGCACTTGCTTTTTAGTGCCTAAAAGTGAAGTGGATCACCTTAATACGACTATGTAAGTAGATCTATGTCGCTACAACATGAGGAATACAATTAAACACACATTCACACACATACATGGCTTTACCTTGTGAGTCACAGAGCACCTCCAGGTTCTGACGTCTCTCCGCTTTCTCTCTTTCCTTCAACTGCTGGTTCAGAATCCTAACACGCCTGGAACACACAACAGTGAGTCAGTGAACATCTGGAACATGAAGTAAAAGCACGGAGAGGTTAAAGGCGGTCTGAGTTACCTGCGGAGTTGAGTGTTCTGGCTGAGCAGCGACGGCAGGTCTGGTTCACTCTCCGTCTGCTGGATGTTTAAACTACCAACATTCATCTGCGGTGAGGACACCGTCTGTTCCAGATGACTGAGCAGCCTCTCTGCTACACTGCCTGCACATGGAATCAACATTTCTTCAATGGAAGGTTGAGGCTAAATGTGTGGACCATTTCTAAATCCTGCTACCATTTCAATAAAACCACAAACAAGAGAGTAAGCCGGTGTATCAAAAGACACCTCAGGTTACCTTGTCCAGCGATCAGAGCCTTGAGTTCTCTCAGCAGATACTGAACTGTCTTTGCTTTCTCTTCATCGTTGCTCTCCTGTGTTACTTTACCATCCTTTCCAGGCTCCAGCTGCAGATTTGACATCTCCACGGCGCAGGTGTTTGTGTTTGAGTCTGTGGAAGTTTTCTTCATACTGACGTCCCTCACAGGAACAAACTCCTCTTCTCCATCAGCCTCAGCTTGACTGTGTGGAGCTGCAGCCTGACGGGGAGGCAGCTGGTCTAAAGGGGAGGACGACTGGTGCACAGACAGAAGGATGGAGGCGCTGGGCTGCAGTGGAGGGGTGGAGGTCCTGGGTGGAGGGACGCTGTGGGAGAGGTGCTGAAGTGTTTGGACGAGTGCAGGAGGTGAGAGCAGCAGCTTGTGGGCTTGTTTCTTCGGTGGATGCAGCTTCACTCCAGAGTGTGCAGCTGGAGGAGTGGAGTGATGGGTTCTTGGAGATGCAGCGCCTGGTCCACGCCGGCCGGACTGGGAACTCTTCTGGGCTGGAGGTGAGCATCAAAAACATTTTTTTTTTTAGAAAAACTGTATTTAAAATTCAGGCCCTGAAGTATAAAGTAAAAACAAGAAAATTTAAAGTGAAAAAAATGTTTCTGAAGAATCTTTCCAAACGCAAAGAAACCTGAAAGTTTCATCAGGCTTCATGTGACCATATAAGTTAGTTGGCATCATTCTTCACATTTTGTAGTTGTCTGTAATCTAATGTTGTCGTAGCAGTGTCAAATAAACTCAAGCAAACCTCACACACATTCCTAAACACACCCACCTGTCTTTGGAGGTACTTTCTTAATGCTCTTCCCTCCAAATGAGGCTGATCGTCTTGATTTGGCTGCTCCAACCTTCACTGTTCTTGGAACGCTTGGCGAAGCTTAGACACACACACACATTTATTATTATCTTCATTCATCAATTAAGCATTTTGTATGTTTTTCAACAGTCCTCAGTACTTTTGCTTGACTGAAGGATTATAAAAACTGCTGTTGAGTGTTTGTTTTTTGTTTTTTTCAATCAACCCGTCAATTGATCAACTATTTGTTTTAGTAAACTATTGACTGCTTTATAAAGTTAGGAAACCCATCTGACCTGCTTTTTCAGCCTGAAGAATGCCGCCGAGCAAGGCAGCACAGCGGTCCAGACCCTTATGGAGAGTGGTGACCTAAGGACAGAACACAGCTGGGATTATTCCAAACATACTCCACCCCTAACACACAAAAACACTAACCAGTAAGCTGAATCACAGTATCTGTCAGTAAAAAGTACAGCTAGATATAATCCCCAAGCAACTTTTTCAAGACTTGAAATCAATGATTGCTGAAGCAAAGCATCCCTTTAAAATCACGTTGCTTTTGATCCTGCACAAACAGCTCAGTTCTTCACCTGGTCTTCGGAGTCTGTGGAGTACAGAGAGTAGGCTGGCTCGGGGCGGGATGCTGCTGCTGGCTTTACAGTCACTCTGACAACACAAGTTAGAGGAGAAGCGCACAACACAAGAGTTAGAGGAGTGCAAACAGGAATATAAGGTGATTTGAAAGTCAAACTGCCTCTTTATAGAGGTGGATACAAGCTGGTGGACTCACTGAGTCGCTCTGGCAGCTCCGGTCAGCCTCCCTGATGTCACCACCTGCCAGGAAGACAGATCATCATTTTTTTTATATAAATATGCGGAGAGGGCTTGTTTTGTACTTATGCACCACAACTGGGTCAAATATTCTGTACCCATATTGTTTAACACCTGTGGAATATCTGATAAAAGTGATTGATTGATTTTTTTTTATACAGCCTGATGTAAGGAACATTTTCTTCATAAGAACATGGAGAAATTAGATTTTCTGGCTGATGAGAGTATTTTCTGATTTATAGAACAGTAAAAGATGATTTTCAAAATCCTCTCTGTAACAACCTTTGACTCCAACATGTTAACAAAATGAGCTTGAATTTGAATCTGACTTTATCCAAAGTTCAGATTTCTGTTCTGGATTTTTATGCAAATTTGCACATTTTTTTATGAGATAATGCCATTAAATATAACATTTTAGAAAAACAGTAATACAAAATGTAAGGATCTGAATGAAATGAATCAGCTGTGCAGGTTTCATGGTGGTATTTATGTTCACCTTCAGAGTTTTGCGTTTCAAGTGTATTATAAACAGCTGTGAAGTGACACTACAGTGGACAACTTGTATCTCGCTTACAATGACAGATATTAAAAATAAAATCCACATGGATACGTCTTCTGTCATGTTTAGATGTATCGGAAACTCGTTTTTTAATATGTCAAGCATTTAAAAAATTAAGAGTGGTTACTCTCACTGACAAACAGCTAAATGTCTGAGCCTCGTATCAAGTCAACTCTAGCTTTAGTCAGTCTTACCTTGGGTTTTACTTTTCCTTTCATGGTTTCCGCACTAGACACAAATATTCTGTTGTTTCTCTGCCGCCGAACACAGCAAACTGTCAACTTTAGCTTCTAGCTTCAACACGTCTGTCTGAGGACTCATTTCTACGGGTGCCGGAAGAAAACAGTTTTGAAACGGACAGACAGGGTGTGACTGGCCAATCAGATTGAGCCGATCAGAACGACGTCACCAGAGTCCCGCCCACGACGGGCGGAGTATGTGGGAGTATTCAATGTGAAATTAAGAAATAAATTTTTCCTCTAAAGTGAATAAATATGGCAATAAAATAAATTGAAAAGGTACAATATATATATAAATGACTGCAATTATTAAATAACATGCAAACTCCACCTCACAAATTAACAAACAAAAATAAAAATGAAGAAAAGCTTGCTCATAGGGGATAAAGTGAATCAAGATTTGTTGGCCTTTCATTTATATTTCAAAAATATCATAAGATCTTAACTATAATTTTATCTAGTTAGGTTACTTTTCCCAAATAATACAGTAGGGTCTTAGCCCTGATATTAGTGAAGTAAAATAGTTTTAAATCATTTATATGAGTTTTATAGAATTGTATTTAATCAACTCACTCCATAAACAACTTAACTCCAGTACTTTAAATTGTAAGGGTAATTCATAAATAAATGTTGTATATAGATAATCATGACCTGACATCTATTTATTTCAATATTTTTTCATACACCAAAAACAGGCTCCCTTATACAATTTATTGGCGTGACGTTTCGAGCAAAATGCTCTTCCTCAGACTGCTAACCATTAGACTGAGGCTGCCATCTTAAGTACCCATAATGCACAGCATTCATCACGACATTCTGTGATCCAGCATCCAACCCAGTGGGCCCAGGTGTGCGTGCCTTTCCTTCTTTAGACTTTAATATTTTTTTCATAGCCATATGTACCTATGTCACTGAAATATTCATGTAATGTTGAAATAGATGCTTTTCAAGCTTGTTATGCAGCAGAACAGACATCCTTGTATTGGAGCTTTACTGCCCTGACAAATTAGTCAGTAATGTTGAGATGAAGCTTAAGGAACATTAATAATTACTTGATCTTTTGGACCTGTTTATTCCAATCAGTCTACCGATCAGTCAGTGACCTGTGCTCAAAGACTGACTGCTGCTACAAACCTTAAGCAGCACTGTTTCTTGCAATCGTGCATTTGTCTTTGTAAAGAAACTAAATAGTGCATGATGAGGAATACACTAAAATTCTTTTTTTTTTAACACTTTAATGTATCCATCACCATTCAGTCAGCAAAGACACACTTCAATGCCTAAACTGACTTAAAGTCACTGAGGTGGGACTCACTTGAACTGCCTCACATTCAATCAATTTGACAACAAATGCAAACTTTGCTTTGAACAAATATTTATTTATTGTTCACCTTTTTTCCTAGAGGAAGCAAAATATATTTGTAATATGACATGAAAGTTTGGCCTTTACGTCAGATGCATTGTAACCATTAACCATTGTAAATGCAGGTAAAGATAAAAAAAAAGAAAAGTATGTCAGTGAAAACTGACCAAATTGGCAGATTATACACATTATACAAGAGCTGGTTCCTCATTTAACACAACACTTGACATCTTAACTTTGTCCAGTATGAGAAACAATCTGGCTCTCCAAACAAAAACACTGATAAATACGAGATGAACACCTCAAAAGAAAAAGAACTTAAATCAATCCTGTGAGTGTGCTGCTCTCGTGCCGTCTCTACTCCCACTCTTCATCATCAGCTGCGGTCTGTGCTGCTGGCTGGTTCTTCACAGCATCGTCTTGGAAAGAGCCTGAATGTTGACCCTGAGGACACTGAAGGTCACACAGAGATCAGAAAAACTGTAGACGAAAAGCATACGCAACCACAAAACAGACAAACGTGTTACCTTTCTGGAGTCTGTGGAGGCAAAAGTCTTCCTGGCATTGCTGAAGCCAGTAGTCCCGTGGCTTCTGAACGCAGACTCCTCTAACCATGAGGGCACCTCCTGCTGAGCCTGTCAATCCCAACCAACACATGAAAACACTGAAGACTGACTGGCTGCTCTTTAAATTCTTCCCAGTGGTACATGTTGGCTCCCATTGGTACATTAAAAAAAAAAGTTTAACAGAATGTCCTCCAGTTTCCCTTAAATGCATCACATGCAAACTGCCATTAAAGTAAATGACAAAGTTTGCCTGTATAAAAAAAAATCTGAAATGTTCTCTTTCCCTGGCTAATAACAGGTTATCATGTCCCTTGATAATGGAGACCCTTCGCCCTCCATTGCTCTCCTGCGGCTGTGCTGCATCTCTCCCGAGGCTCACTTGTCTGCAGTCGCCTCTCATCACCCCTATCTGCACCCACAGACCTCCCCTGGTGGTGACTGACAGTTGCCCTTGAGAGATGGGCTTCGTGCTCCAACAACACAGTCTTTTTGTTTTGGTTGTGCAGCCCAAAATTTGTGACCATGTAAACTGTCTGTCACTGCATCTTACCCATTTCACATGTACCAGGATAACAAATGGAGCTCACAACAAGTGTTGTAATGAGGAGAGGCTGTGCCAGAAGGCTCTTCATCATCTATACCCACTGTGCTTGACACAGCTCAGGAATAATCACTGACATGGTGCTAAAGTCCAATCTGTAACCAGCTGCAAAGTCACAGCCTTTCAGAAACACTGTTCAATCTGCTGACTCCCTCTCAGTCTTTAAGAAAAGTCTAAAGACCCAGCTCTTCACTGAACACCAGATGAATTCTCAAATGAAGTCGTAAGTCTCAATAGGAACAGTGATGATGTTGGTGGGATCTTACCTGGGACAGAATTGCGACCAGAGAGCGAGCCAACTGACTATCAGCATCTGGGTCATAGAAAGACACTGCTCTCCCAGTGTTTCCACAGCGGCCAGTTCTCCCAATACGGTGGACATAATCGTCTATGTTGTTTGGGAGGTCAAAGTTCACCACATGCTGCACATCTGGAATATCCAGACCACGGGCAGCTACAGAGGTTGCCACTAGAATTGGACATCTGCCAGAGCGGAAGTCTGCCAGGGCCATCTCTCGCTCTCGCTGCTCACGGTCGCTGCCGGGCAACAAAAGACACGATTATCCAGATGAAAATAATGTGTTAAGTCAAGAACCCTAGAAAGAGCACTTACCCATGAATGCTGGTAGTTGGAACTTCCTCCTGGCACAAGAACGCGGCAATAAAATCGGCCTGTCTCTTGGTCTCCACAAACACCATGGTGCGTTCAGATCCTGCATCCAACATCAGTCATCAAAACTAGTAGTAATGTCACTAATCGAACCATTTCAAGTTTCTACTTTAATTGAACACAAACATGTGCTGCAAAAACAAATACTTCATATTTTCAGCATAAAAAACTCCTGATATTAGAGTGTATTGTTGAGATTATGATATTCTGGCAAATCGTGCATAATAGTGGAGTGATTTGACTTGTTTATGTTTGGATTTTCTTCTCTACATTGGCAACCTAAAAGCTTTAAAATAGTTGCCAAGAAAGTACCTGTGGTCTTGACAAGGTCAAGAAGCTGCTCCCTCTTGGAGAACCTGGTGACTTGCTTCAGTATCTGCTCCACATCACTGCAGGCTCCGCCCACGACCCCCACAGCCAAGAACAAGTAGTCACTCTTGAGAAAGTCTGCTGCCATCCTGTAAAACACATTTCCATACTCAAACAAGCCAACCAGCAGTCCAGCTCAGACACTGTTGTCAACATTAGCAGTGAAAGTTGTGGTGGATTAATGAGCAAACTTTTGGATGTCTTCAGGGTAGGTGGCACTAAACATCAGAGTCTGACGGTTCTCTTTGGACGGCATTCCTGGGGAAGTCACCAGCCGCCGCATGTCAGGCTCAAAACCCATATCCAGCATCCGGTCCGCTTCATCCAGCACCAAGTATCGCACTTTGCTCAGCCCAACCTGCAGCACATATTTCATTTAGCTGCAATGTTTAAGCCTTCAACTCAAGACTGTGCAACTTCGAAGAAAACATCAAATGACTAGAAACTTTAAATTACTTTACCTTTCCTCTTCCAATCACATCCAACAGTCGCCCTGGTGTGCCACACAACAAGTTGCATCCCCTTGAGATTTCTCTGATTTGGTATCCGGTGCTGACTCCACCATAAACCACAACTGGGCGCACACAAGTCCTGCAACAGAGGAGACCAAGGTTAAAAGCCAGGAGGACTTCACTCATTGCATGGTGAATTCACAGGGTGCATTTAACACACTGAAACCGCCCTCTGTCAAAGACAAAGTCTAAAAACATACCCATGGGCAAACTTCCTGGCCTCCAGGAAAATCTGGTTGATGAGCTCCCTAGTTGGAGCCACGATGACAACTTCAGGTTCCTGAATCTCACTGAACTGACTGGCTGCCACACCATCTACCATCAGCTGCTGCAGGATGGGGAGCAAGAATGCAGCCTGGAGGAGGAAGAGCTCATTTAAATTCTGTCCATAAGCAAATCTACAGGTCAGGTGTTGATTCTCCCTCCTCTCACCGTTTTACCAGATCCAGTCTGGGCACAGGCCATGAGATCTCTGCCAGCAGAGATGATTGAGATGCCATGTTTCTGCACAGGGGTCGGCTTGACATACCCAGATTTGCTCACGTTTTTACTCAGGGTCTCACACAAGGCTGCTTCTTCAAAAGTCTGAGGGGAAAAAAAGGTCTGAATTGTTGACAGAGCAGACTGGTCCATCACATACACAACAGATGAAACACACAGAAGCTTCAAGGAACAGTCAACATGTGTTGCCATATGCCAGTTTGAGATGAGGTACTTATGCAGCTGCCTCAACTGAGTTCACAGACCCGGTTTTAGACATTTTAATAAACTGACAGCTTCTTAGGTGAGTTATAATACTTTCAAAAACAACAGGGCATTGGTAAGTTTACATCGCTCACCATCCACCAGTCAATGTGTTCAGTCAAACCGGAATATGAGGGAAGAATTCCGACTTAAGTTGTGTTCTGTTGTGGAAGGTTAACAGCACTTTGAGTGTTGTGATCTCAGGGTTTTTTTTTGGCATTTCTGCCTGACTCCTTGTCAGCTGACTGGTATCTCACTGTTAACAGAAACCACAACTGAGCAGTCTGATGCTATATAATGCTTTGTCTGCATTGTAACTACATAAATCATTGGTGCATATGTGAACTAACAGTTACAGTATTTTTCCAAGTGCCCACAGGTGTTACCAATACAAGGAAATCGTGATATTTGAAGAATATCATAATTGCAAGCTTAGATTTTGCTAATTTCCTGAACAAAACTCCATATCACACAATTACTTCAGAGTGTTTTAAAGTTGAAAGTCAAACAATTCTGTTATTACAGTTTCTGGATAAATGGTGTAATTTTGGCAATTTTACTTTGAAGATAGCATTCTTTAATTTGGTTATTTTGTTTTAAGATTCTGGTGTGAACACAAAAATGTCTTCAAATGCAGTGGCTAACTGCTGATTAGTAGGGGTGTAACGGTACACAAAAATCACAGTTTGGTACGGTACCTCGGTGCGGAAGTCATGGTTCGATAAAGTACGGTTCAGTTCTCAGTTAAGGGGACAAACGAAAAAATAAAAAAAACCTGCTCATAATTAAGCCCAAACATTTGTTTACTTTATTAAACCAAAAAGCTGTTAGCAGCTCAGTCAATCAAATTAAATGTACAATGTATACAAATGTAACAGAAATACTGCTGCATCGTTCTCAATATTAAATGAACAAGATAAAATAAATAAAAGTACAAGTGCAGCATTAACAATTTCAGCGTATTGGTCAGCTGTAAATGTAACTGAACTTCTTTTCCAGTATAAAACAGGAAGACACTGCTGCAAACAACCAAGTTTAGCGATAAATAGAAAAAATAAATATTTTTCAAATAAATGAGTATTATGCAGCCAAATTTGAGCTTGTGTGCTGTTCATAAATGGGACGAGTTTGTAAAACATGGCTAACTAGAAGAGAACTGAGAGCGTAAACCTCCGCCAAGTAGCTCATTTCCACCCATGTTGGGATTTCCAGCAAGTTCTGCATTCATGTGATCTACACTATTACATTCATGGATAATCAAAACATAGCTGTAGCATTTGAATTAACATTGATATCATTAATAAGAAGCTGATGGAGTGATGAACGGTCGTTCTGTACTCTCTAATATTTTGTACACTTACGTTATTTCTGCAGTTACTTACTGGCTTTAAGCTGTTAGCTAACGCTATGCTAGGTTGCCATAACTACAGCCATGTTAATGCTAACATAAACAGACAGGGAGGTTAGCACAACTTTAGCAATGCAACGTATATGAAAAGCATGACCGACGCAACGAGGCATGCGTCACTCGTCATGAAACAAGGCAAAAAGAGTTAAAGTGAAACAGGAGACATGTAGAGTCATTGTTAACGTCACAATGTCATTATGAACTTATCTGTCAGTAGCTCCGCTCAGCCCACTCCTGTGATGCTGCCTGGCTGTAGCGTATTCATGATAATACTGAGAAGACAGCAGTGAGGACTGAGGACTGAATGGAGTCAGAGCTCCAGCACAGTAACAATCTGTGCAACGTTTGTTATTTTTTTCTCACAGCGGGCAGTTATGCTTGGATGCTGCCTTTTCAAATGAGTGTGTAAGTTTGACGCGTTGCCAGATGCGTAGAGGGCCGCTTCATAGTGTGGACATACGGCTTTCGTCTTGTTTTTCTCCTTTTTCGTACTTCATCAGGAAACCGCTAACGGGTGACTTTAATGACACTGGAGCGTCTTCGAGCTCTGGCTTTTTATTATTATTGTTAACATTAGCCATCCAATTTGCTAGGCATACAGACTGGGCTTATAAGGAAGCTCCGACAGGAGAATAAACAATCCGTCACATCCTGTGGAAACTCCTACTTGTTTTTTAGCTCCGCAATACTGCAACACTTGCAACTGAAACAATTATGTACATTGGCCATTCTTAATAGTCTTCAAATTTTCGTACCACAGTACACCTCTGTACCGAACCGAAAGGGCCTGTACCAAACGGTTCGGTACAAATACGTGTATTGTTACACCCCTACTGATTACTAAATAATTTTTTAACCAACTGATTATTTTATACTTCATACCATGATAGCTTGTGGTGGGTTTGTGCCACTGACGTCCACCAAGATGTCGTCATACTTGTCGAAGTTGATGCCCGACTCATAGTGGGAAAAAATGGAATCTTCATCTTCAGGGAGGGTTGGGGGTACATATGTGATCCTGGGTCCTGCAATTCACAGTAGAAATTGTGCATGTGGTGCACGACTGGAAGAAGCTTGATCATTCTCCAAGAATGCTGAATATATTTACATTTAAGACTTTCACTTACTGTCACCATCACCGCCATCCTTCTTTTCTGTATCTTTATCTCCCCCTGCATTACATAAAGATGTCATTTACACCAGTGAAATGTTTTAAATACACACTAAACAGCTCAAATGTTTTCATTTATCATCAAAAAAAGATAAATATAACCTCTTGGAAAGATCTCTTCATCTCTCCCACGATAACCTGTAAGGACACAACTGGCATTAACTAACAGAAAATTATTCTTCACAGTGTTTATTGTTGCTTACTTACCTCCTCCAAAGCCTCCTCTGCCACCCTGGTCACCACCTTCAATGCATGATCAGTTATTAGTTATCTGCTCTTCCCATTTCAAAATAAAACTGCATTACTTCGATAACAAAACATTTTTATGAATTTAGAAATAAGTTCAGAAACTACATGAACCCTCTGAACCCCAAAACATAGTGTGGGTTTAAAAGGCATGCTTGTTTGTTTGTCCCCCCCCCCAAAATGACACTAAGAAACTGTTTAAAAAAAAAACAAAAAAAAAAACAACTTCCGTGAATTTCCATTCTACCAAAAGACTTAGTTTAAAGATAGAGTAAATGTACATGCTAAATTTAAGATTGTTTTAAATTTTTGTAAAATGAATAATCAAGAAATTCAAGTTTCATTGTTTCTTTTTTTTAAATGATTCATGGCATTGCAATTGTGTCACACTGCAAAAAATGACATCGAAGAACTCTTTCTACTTCTAGCATGCTTGTACCATTTCCATAGAGGTGCAGGACTTTATATTGCAGTGACACATTTGTCCAAAGTCAATCAAATTGTGAAAGGAGCAAAAACACCCAGAAACTTCTTGGGGTTCAGAGGGTGATGGCAAATCCATTCTAAGAGGACTGAATCAAGTAATACCTTGTCTAAAACCGCCTCCTCTGCCACCTCTTTCCCCACCGCGGCCTCTTCCTCTAAACCCTGTTCAAAACACATGACACTGACTTATAAAGATTCACACGCAGAAAATGAAAATGTGTTAGACAACCAGACAAAAAACAAACCCTACCATTTTCCCTCACTCCATTGTTGCTGTTGTCACCTGTAAAATCAAGGTATATCACACAAAATCAGATTAAATGCATTTAGGTCAGCTGCACTCAGAATAGACCCCAACATATGCAAACATTACCATCAAATTCACTTCGATCCTCTCCGCCAAATCCTCGGGCACGCCCTGATGGAACATACATGCTGTTACGACACCATTTCATGAACACGTCTCAAAGTATTCAGTTCTCCTAAAAATCTAAAAACTGACTCCCAAGCGATTCTACAAAACAGTATTTGCTTCACAGTTGTCCCAGCAAGCCTTCACATCTTGTGTAATGCAATGCCTATTGTAATGTTTGTGGTTTGAAAAGTTTCGGCTAGTATTTTAGGTTTTCCTTTTGTGAATCTGATCACACATTGAAATCTTCTGAAACATCAAAGTTGACTACAGCTGATTTCCTCCATGAAGAAAACTAAAAACTTTGTGAGCCTGTTCTAGCCTCCAGTGGTGATATATTTAAGAGGCTTTCAAGAAAGTTATTCTTCAAGTCTAAAACTTTGACAGGGAAATTTAAACATTGCCACATAAAACATTTATGAAAGTATTTAAACATTTTGTTCAGGTAACCCACAATCACGCTAAGTCAGCTCAATACATTTACAGTATGTGAGTGTATTAGGTACAGTTCATGTCTTACCTCTGCCTCCTCTTCCTCTGAAACCACCTCTTTCTCCTCCTGTATTATTCCAGCTGTCCCCACCTATCAAGCAGAAATCAGAGGTTCAGTGGCACCAAGGATGAACAACATTCTCATTGACACCAGTTAATTTAACACTGCTAATGCTTACCATTGGCATTCTCATCACCACCTACAAATCAAAAGTCAGAGTACCAAAATTAGATTCCTCCACAATTCTCATGGTGTTCAACTTTTCTCTCTACACTACACCACATTTAACAACTCATACCTACTGGCTTTAAGTGACTAGAAACAACACGGCGTGCAAAATCAGTTCAGTAAACTTTACAGCCAATTGTTAAGCGGACTACATGACTAAAGTGATATATCACAATTCTTAACATTACCTATATATTTAGTCAATCATATTTCTTGAGAACCAGCAGAAGCAGAATAAGCACCTGAGGTAAATGAGTTTCTAAATCCTCCTCCTCTGCCTCTACCTCTTCCACCACCGCCTGGAGGGAAATAAAAAAAAAAGTAATTTAAGTGTAATCTTCGGCTAATATAGTAATAGCTCCTTTTCTACACTTACCTCTTCTATTTTCACCACGGTCAGCATTCCAGGTGCCTCCTTCTGTGACTAAACACACAATATTAATTTCACACAGTACATACATTTAACTTAAGAAGTTATTCTAAATATTGTTGCTTCCATGCTTAATTCTCATTTACAAAAGAAGGTTTCAGTAATATAACTAAAGAACATACCTCCAATTGAGATGCTGCTGGTTGGTGTAGTTTCCTGTAAGCAGGAGTGAATTTAAATCCAGTGCTGACTATCAAGGTTTATGGCAGGAACCACAAAGCTGGACTTAAATGACATTTAGGGGTTTGAGAGTGAACTAACTTACCGCTTCGTCCCACTCATCCATGTTTAAGATCACCTGAAAAAATAAATGACAACATTAAGCACTGTAAACCTTTTTTTTTTTTTTTTAATAGAATATTACTGTAGATGCTGTACAAAAAAATGCAACCAAGTGTGCTGATGTGACCAACTGAGAAATTTCGTAGAAAAGTTAAGTCGACTATATTACGTACCATTCAAGTTAACTACATGAAAGCCTCTTGCAGTGGCTTCTCGTTAAAGCCAAATCCTCTAAACTATCGCGAGATTTAGCCAAAATGGTTAGATTAACAGAAACTAACAACGAAGGAGATGCTCAAACTAACATTTGTCAAAATTTAAGACACTTAATTATGATCAAAGCAACAAAAACATTAAACTCGGTGATACGGGCGGCGGTTGTTCGTTGCTGCTAACACAGTCGGTGAAAAATGCGTCGACTTGTCGTTGCTATCTTTCGTCCGCATTATTTAGCTTGCGTTACTTTCGGCTAATCCCGTCGACGACGAAAGGGCAGGGCGGGACGGCTAATGTCTCCTCGACTTGACCGCAAACCACAAGAGATACCACCAAGAGCACAACAAAAGCCGATACGCTTTGAAGAATATCTGGCATTAAGTTACTATAATGTAATATGTAAAACGTTATTACTTAAGGCCATGTCGAGTCCGACCCCGGTTCGCTCAAAAAGCAGGCCTAGCTAAAGTTAGCTAACTCGCCGTTAGCGGCAAAACAGATTAAAATACATATTTTAACAAAATAACCGTCCTGCTCGTTTAAAAATGGTTTATGAGCTGATAGCAATAAAAACTAACTAGCTTTCATAAAGATAATCATACTTTATCACGGCTTTCTCCGGTAGAAATCGGTGTTCGTCACGCTGGTGGCGCCGCTCTCTCTGTCGTTGCGTCTCCGTCAGCGGGTCGCGTGCACGCCATGCAGCCCGCCGAGGTTGCCATATCCGCTGCTTTCCCGCTCAGCTGAACTACTTTGAAAATAAACAGAATAGATGATATGTATAATAATAAACTGTCATCGCCGGTTGGGTGGGAATTTTTTGCAACCATGATTTAATTTTTTGTAAATGCAATTTCATTTTGTAAAGTAATAAACCTTTTCGGGGACATTGATGGTGATCAGTAGGGGGAATGTTGCATGACCAACATGGAACTACTTTCTTTTTTATTTCGCCTTTTCTTTTTTCTTTTTTTCTTTCTTTTAGATAATTTACAATTATGTTTTGTCCTCATGTGTCTTCCTTATTCCTTCAAAATTTCCCAGCATGTTAAATTTCCATATGTCGTGAATTTTATTTTATTTTTTTAAAGTTGCTCATTATCAACTGATATCAATTTGTGTTTATTACACTTAAAATTATCTGCTACATAAACATCCATCAATCCATCTATCCATTACCTATACACCGCTTTATCCTTGTTATTTAGAAGTATGTGTCATATACAGCCTAGTGTTGTGTCTGCAGTGCTCTCTGCTGGACAAACCATATATATATATATATATATATGACTTCAAATATACTTCTTGTACTACAAATTAGATTTTCAATTTTGCAGATATAGATGTTCAGATGTGGTGAGGCAATGTCAGCTTAGTCACATTAAGTAATTAATAATTGATAAACACGTGTGTTTTTTGTCTTGACATGTGGCTGAAGCAGTGTTTCCTGTCTGAGCACCTCTGAGGGTTTGAAGCGGCACGTGGAATTAGAGCTTATATGGAGAGGCTGAGACACAAACCCACCAAAAAGTGAAAATGGGTCCTTACGATGTGATTAATTACTATAATCTGTCTTTGTCTGGAGCTACATACACTGGATTTAAACACTTGATAGCATGGTGTCGGGAGCAGGACAGACAGACACTAACAGCTTGTTATCAGAGCTGATGGATGGTAACAGGTTGGTAGACACACAGATCAACAGGCCTGTCAGGATTCTTTCGACGCTTTTACTGTGATAGACGGTGGCAGAAATAAGGTTGGAGGAATCTGTTGTGATGTAAGAACAATAGTGTAAAGCTAGACAAAATGCAAAGACACAAGAAGTTGATGTTTTATTCCAAAAAAAACCTGAATGTTGCCTATCACAGACATGACTCCATGTGTTCATTTCGCCTCAAAGTCCAGTTTAATAAAAGCAAGGTGGGTATAAATAGCAAAAGTAAGTGTGTGTGTGGTAATTTGGTTAAATTAGGAATATGCATCATTGAAGCTCAATAAGAAATGAAATCCAGCAGCCTAAGAGCCCTGGTCCAGTCATTGATTAAAGGCTTTCATGGACAGTTTTTCTTGTTTCAATCACATCCCCAATCTTGCTGTGACATATGATATAGAAACTGAACATTTAATAGTATTTTTAATACTATTAAATTACAATATAATGGATTTTTTTTCCCTCAGTGCTTGGTTACTTACAGTATTCAAAAAAAGTAAATATCCCCTGTGCAATAATATTACTTAAGTTCTATTTGCATTAAAGTAATTTTTTTTGTATAACAGTAGGTATTTGCTCTTGTGTCTAATTAGAAGCTAACAGTTTAGATTTACTGTATTAAAAATACAGCCCCATCCGTGGAATGTAACAGGAGTGAATACACCATTCATAACCAAGGTTCAGTTTTTTTATTTCTTAAATACTTCAAACATCCATCTTAATTTTTGATGACAGACTCAATCCTCCTCTGCATGGTGGATACAAACGTCTGTTTGTTCTGCAGATTGTTTTTTCTGTTTTCTTTAAAATATCCCATTGTTTTTTTTTTTTTTTTTTTTTCTTTAACTCAAGTCAGGTGGCATCTTGGCACAGATCATAGTTGTAACAATTTGTGTGATTTTGGCAGTTTGCTGTAGATCGTTCTCATGTTGGTATATTTCTCTACTGCAAAGCTTCTGCAGACTTGGAGTCATCTTGTCAGTCATTATTGTGATATGTCCACAAACCCTAACCCTATAAATGTCATCTTCTCAACACCTTTTGCTCTCACGGAACCCCATATTATCACACTACCACCCCTGTCCTTCATTATCAGGACGATGCATTCACTGTGGTAGTCCTGGCCAGATTTATGCCAAATATGCTGGATTCCATCTGAGCTGAGCAAATGTATCTCGGTTACATCTGACCAAAGAATGCGCTGCAAATATTCATATTTCTTCATCAGAGTTTTATCTTGTAGTCAAAGAGAAAGCTGCTATGTCGTCTATATAGCATGTAAACTGTATTTCACACTGTCACATGAACTGTGTCAAGCCTGAAGCACTTACCCATCTGGTCAGAGCTAAACTATGCAAACAGTGCAGCGATCATGGCGTCATTTGAGGACAACGGCCACTAATTAGTGATTAGTGTTAAAATGATTAGTGGTATTATGGCTCATTCTAAACCTCCAGATTACTGCTGCAACTGTGTTTCCACTGATTTTTTATTTTTTTTGTTGATCTTCCTGCATCCTTTTCCATCTACACTCAGATTTTTCAGTTTCTCTGGTAATTCTTTTCCACGTGGAGCCATGATGCAGACATGCAGGTCCTAAACTAAGACAGTTGTGATTTTCACAGCTCATTTTATACCCATGTCCTTGCAGTTAGGCGGATTGGAGACCACTGGTGTATTCAGGTGTGTGTCAGTGATCACAGGTATTCATTACCTAATTTGCCATCTGTATTTTTAATATAATCTTGCAAAAGTATTTGTTTTTTTAATTCATAATGAGATCAAATACTCCACTGTTCAGCTTAAAAATAATGCACTTTTTAAGTTGTGATTAAATTTTGAATCCTGCTGCACAGAAGTGTACTGACTCCTCTGTTAAACCTCCATAACATCGTGCTGAGTCCAGTTCCTTGCAGCATTATGATCCATTCCAGCAGGTCTTGAAGCTAGGACGCAGTGCATTGTGGGACGTGGGCTGATGGTGAAGTCAAGATGGCTGCGAACCTCAGGCAGAGGAAAGAGCCTGCAGTAGGAAGGCCGTGAATGAAGTTTTCAATAGAAAATCCTTCGTCGCTTCCCGATCACACTGAAACCATCGTGCTGTTGGAGTTGCGATCAGCCCGTGGAGGACTTAAAACATTCACAAACAGCAACAGAATAACAAACAACTGAGGATAAAGTCTCGTATGAATTCCGACGAGAAGGAGGACTGTGAGTGTGCGCCACCACAGGCCGAGACTAGCCCCGCCAGAGGACCTGATAGGTGGGGACGCCGGCAGGAAAGAGTCGGGGATGCCGGGGATGCTAGGAGGAGCAGTAAAACAGATAGCTAGCTAGCTGTTGCTGTTAGCTGCCTGGATTCTGATGCGCTGCTGTTTTAATTAGTGTATGCCGGCAAAGTTCTTAGCAAGCACCGGTTGATTAGAAAACGTAAATGTTTAGTTTGGAAACAACAGTTGTGCATGAATAATAATTGAAATAAGGCCAGCAGGCTAGCTAGTATTTGCTACATTAGCTTGCTAAGTCGGCGTCAGACTGTGCAGGTCCCTGACATTTCTCTGGCTTCACTGGCCTTATTGTCCTTCTACGACTGAAGTGCAGCGTTTTGTGTGAAGCTTTTTTCTTATAAACACTAACAGAACACGCTAATTTGACGTGGCTGCACATTTAGCATAAAGCTGCGACCTAAATCACTGTAAGGGTAACCTGGCTGCTTGTAGCTACAAGACACCGACTCTGGTGTTGCTCTTCAGCTAGCATGCCATTTTCTCATCTGTCCTAAAGAACATGCAGTTTCTAAATGAGAGCATGTTCCGATATTGCCACAGACTCCTAAATGCAACCATCACGGAGCCACTACAGTATTCAATGAAGTTGTGTCAATGCAGAACATCGTGACCTCTGCTGTGCCTCTTATCCTTATTGTTTGTCGTTCAATTAGAGAATACGAGGAGCCTGAAATAGAAAACCCAGAAGCAAGCCGAATGTAAGTCCAACTCATTTTCTAATACAACATATATGTACATGTTTGCACACAAAGCTGGCCCTCTGCACCAGCAGCTTAGATCACTCTTGTTTAGTCTGTTCTCACTTCTTTTCCTGCCATGGTATCCCTGCTGATAGTGGTTGTCATACTATGATATTATGATCTTGTTACCTTAGGGTCATTTGATTGTTTTTAGAAAGCACAGTTTCATTCATTAGTATTTTAAAACACTGATATGTGTTTGAATGTTTAGAAAAAAGAAGTGCTGTGAGTGCATCTTGAATGCAAATTTTAGTTGAGCTATTATTCATGCAATCAAGAATGAACTTTGGAGCGAGCCTTATCTTTTTTTTTTTTTATGTTCATTATCAGCTTATAAACGGATACTGGCTGACGACATAATGTCTGATTTATCGAACTGTCAAAAATTTATTGATATTGACTTCTAGTGTCGGCTATTCCACACCCAGCACCCGTCATCGCATACTGATGTTTCTGTAATTAACAGTTTCAGACTTCATAATAAGGTCTATGTCTACAACAAAGATGGATTTTTGTTTTGCTAAAAGCTTGTTTACGAAGTGTCAGACAATGCAAGGTGTGGATCCTTCATAACAACCAAATCCTAGCAGTCTAACAGATCAAACCTGCATTTAATAAATGTTGTGAATGTAGTTTATGTTACAGTACAATGTACAGCTGTCTTGTGTTGTTTAATGTGACAAACTCTCAATAACGCCCAACCATCACAGTCATTCTCATCTCTTGTTGTGCTTTACCTCTGAACGCAGGAAGCGAGCCGCTGCCAAACATCTAATAGAGCGCTATTACCACCAGTTAACGGAGGGCTGTGGGAATGAGTCTTGCTCCAACTCATGGTGTGCCTCGTCAGTCGGCTTCAACCGCATGGATAACAATGCAGCGGCGGTCAAAGCCCTGGAGCTCTACAAGGTCAACGCCAAGCTGTGCGACCCACACCCCTCGAAGAAAGGCACTGCTTCTGCCTACCTGGAGAGCAGCGCTCACAGCAACTCAGCCTGCAGCAACAGAAAGATGAACCACAAAGATGTCCACTCTGTACGAGACAATTTCAAAGGTGAGCTGGTGCCAGACGTTTAATATTTGCATATTGTTGGTGAATGAAACAGAGCTGAATATGCTTTATATTCTGTTTTAACCATGCAATGTTTGGTTTTGTGTGTAGATGTAAATTACCTAACAGAGGAGAAGGTGTATGAGATCTTGGACATGTGTGGCGAGAAGGAGGATTACTCCCCCCTGATCCGGGTAATAGGTCGGGTTTTCTCCAGTGCTGAGGGTCTGGTGCAGAGCTTCCGGAGGTCCAAACCTCATACCAAGGAGGAGCTAAAGTCTCTCCAAGGTAAGGATGAGGACAAAGATGAGGATGAGAAGGAGGCAGCCGCCTGCTCTGCTACAGCTATGGAGGAGGACTCCCCCACCTCATCTTCGTCATCTCGGCTCGGAGAGGGCTCCTCAGGGGAAAACGATGTCCAAAAGCTCGCCCCTGATGAGGTGTCAGTGGACATTGAAGCTGTGCGGCGCGTCTACGAGCGCCTCCTGTCCAATGAGAAGATAGAAGCCGCCTTCTTGAATGCACTGGTCTACCTCTCACCTAACGTAGAGTGTGACCTGACGTACCACAATGTGTATTCACGAGACCCAAACTACCTGAACCTGTTTGTTATAGTGATGGAAAACAGCAACCTTCACAGCCCAGAGTACCTGGAGATCGCTCTCCCGCAGTTCTGTAAGGCCATGAGCAAACTCCCGCTGGCAGCTCAGGCCAAACTTGCCCGCTTGTGGTCGCATTACAGCGCCGAGCAGATCCGGCGCATGGTGGAGACCTTCCAGCAGCTCATTACCTACAAGGTGATCAGCAACGAGTTCAACAGCCGCAACCTGGTCAACGATGATGACGCGGTGGTGGCGGCCACCAAGTGCTTGAAGATCGTCTACTATGCAAACGTGCTGGGGGGCGACCTCGACATGGAGCATAACGAGGAAGAGGATGAGGAGCCCATTCCGGAGTCCAGCGAGCTCACCCTGCAGGAGCTGCTGGGTGAGGAGCGACGGAACAAGAAGGGCCCTCGGGTGGACCCGCTGGAGACGGAGCTGGGAATCCGCACCAACGATTGCCGGCGGCCACTTATTCCCTTCGAGGAGTTTGTAAACGAGCCTCTGAACGAGGTGTTGGAAATGGACAAGGACTACACTTTCTTCAAGGTGGAAACTGAAAACAAGTTCTCCTTCATGACCTGCCCCTTCATCCTGAACGCCGTCACCAAGAACCTGGGTCTGTACTACGACAACCGCATCCGCATGTACAGCGAACGGCGCATCACTGTGCTCTACAGCCTGGTGCAGGGTCAGCAGCTCAACCCTTACCTGAGGCTCAAAGTGCGCAGAGACCACATCATTGATGATGCTCTGGTCAGGGTACGTGTGGACAAGTACACTACATACAGTTTAATAGCTGTGGTTTAATTTGGAACACATTGCACTGATCTATTTCTGTTGTGTCTCTGTAGCTGGAAATGATAGCAATGGAGAATCCTGCAGACTTGAAGAAGCAGCTGTATGTGGAGTTTGAAGGCGAGCAAGGTGTTGATGAAGGAGGTGTTTCCAAAGAGTTCTTTCAGCTGGTGGTGGAGGAGATCTTCAACCCAGATATTGGTAAGAAAGCACAACTTGCATTTATGTTGCTAAACGGGGTGTAAAGAGGAACCACGTTTAATGATTTAAAGGCGCCGTTAGCAGACGCTGTGGTTTTAGAAGTCTGTTTTGAAACTGTCAAGAAGACTGTTGTTGCACATGCATAGTTTGTGGGCTTGTAAAACTCAGTTTTTATACTCATGATAATGTTTTACTAACCAGCTTCATTGCTGAGATACGGAGCTGTGAGGAGATAGCGTTCAACAGATTGTGTGGTATTACAGAGCTGGTTTAATTAAGTGATTCTAACACTTCACTGATGAGAGAACACGAATTACACCTGAAGTGTTCTGTCCCAATTATTCCACTGCTGTCTAAAACTGTGAGTATGCACAAGTGATTATTGTTACGAAGTCAAAGTTGAACAGAAAGAAATGCTCTCAAAATGTCATTAACATTTACAATAGGCAGTAAGTGTAATAATGTTCACCTTGAACGTGTACTTTTATTTTCGGTTTGTGTGGGCCTGATCATATTTGCAAGTTGGACAGTGACAGCTTCAGCACTGCAGCATTTTCACAACAACACTTCATCCTTATTTGTAATTTAATTAAATGTGTTCTATATTTCTAGGTAATTGTTTTGCACTTGGTTTTCATTTAACTTTATTTAGTAGTATACAGTCCAGATGAGGGCACAAAATGTGGCGAATGAGAGAGAGAATATCCAACAAAGGTCACCAGCAGATACTGCGTCACTATGACGCCCCACAAAGTTTCATCCTCATAGCAGATTGGAAAAGTTTAACCCATTCTATTCCACAAAAATGGAATTTCCTTTAAGTTGTTCCAGATTGTTTGAAGTTATTGTGGTATTCTGATGCTCCCACAATGGAATTACTGCAGATGTTCTTTCTGCGGTGCCAGAATAGCGTAAATGCAGCCTATATCCAGACAAAAAGAAGCAGCTGTCAAGCTTTACATGGAGGGCTGACTGGAACATTAAATATAGGCGGCGCAACAACTACTGTGAAAACATAATTCAAGCAAAAAAAATATCCAAAACACTAAAAACATTTCACGGTAATCCTTTTCCCCAGAGAAAGTGATAGTAGAAGAAGCACAGGTGTTTCTAATAACATTAGCAGTAGCTCTGTTCTGTTCCAGCGTCCCAGCAGGCAGCGACAGTGAGCCAGCACTCGCAATATCAGGACGCTGAAATTGAATTCAGCCACCGTTCATTCGATTATTTACACCTGTGTTTGTCAGTTTCAATATACGATGCCTCGAAAGGTCACGGAGGGGACTCTGTTACCTCGCGATTGGTTTTACCTCTTCCGATCTATGAGAGCGATCGGTGTGTTGGTCCCTTCCAGTTACACCACACTGCCAGTGTAGGGAAACACACCGCAGAAATGACAAAAACGACAGACGATGTGACACCTTATGTGAGGCATTACTCATTTTTAAAGGCCAGTCTCTGACAGGATCCAGCAGCCGGCAGTGAGCACAGCTGCAGCTGCTCGGCATGGCTGTGATGGTGAAGCTGGATATGGTTATTGTTCAGTTTTCGGCCGCTGCTGTGGTTCAGCTCATGAATAGGGCTATAAATATGCACAGCCGTACTACTTATAGTACAGGAACCTGCTGTTTTTCAGCTTAATATTTGACAATTTAACTTCATCTGATAACAGTTGTTTGTTTTAGTTGTGACCTGAAAGACATGACTCAGACACTAACAGAAGCTACAGTATTATCAGTGCTGTTAAATCCAAACTATATGAATGTTACTGCGTTGATCAGTTGTTTGTGCATATTTGATCACTGCTCTGCGACATTTAAAGGAAAGCCCTTCTCACTGGAGTTACAGTTACGTTACCTGCTGACGTTTTGCATTCGCTCTGCGTTTAAAGTTACCTGGAGGCAAACTAGTTGGACTACTGCAGGTCACAGAGTCTGGTGGCCACAGAATATATGTTCTCAAGACTTAAGAAATGTGCACATTTTTACTTAAACACGTTGAAACTGACATTTAGGTTGATTGTTCTGCGACTGCTCATTCATGCCATCTGTGTTTCCTCCTGCAGGCATGTTCACATATGACGAGCGCACCAAACTGTTTTGGTTCAACCCGTCATCGTTTGAAAATGAGGGCCAGTACACTCTGATTGGCATCGTCCTTGGTTTGGCCATCTATAACAACTGTATCCTGGACGTCCACTTTCCTATGGTGGTCTACAGGAAGTTGATGGGCAAGAAAGGAACGTTCAGGGACTTAGCTGATGCCAACCCGGTAAGCTTTACCTGTTCTCTGTCTGGATAGTTGATAGTTTAACTTTCAACACTGCCAGGTTTGGTTTTGTGAAAGGCTCAATGAGCAGCGCTAAGTTTAATATCTGTCTGTGCTGAACTGTGTTGCGAAGGTTCTGTACCAGAGTCTGAAGGAGCTGCTGGAGTACGAGGGCAGCGTGGAGGACGACATGATGATCACTTTCCAGATTTCTCAGACAGACCTGTTTGGGAACCCACTCATGTACGATTTAAGGGAAAATGGGGACAAGATTCCAGTCACAAATGAAAACAGAAAGGTGAGTTGAACAGAAAACTGCTGGCGTCATTGCAAAAGTCTGTATTTTCTAGGAAAACCTTGACATGTACTGAATCTATAACTGGCAGCAGCATTTAACACACCGGCTGCAATCAGTGACGTATTTTTATCATTATTTATTATCGTTGCTCAACAAAACATCTGAAAACGGAACACTCTGAGCCTCTGACGTGGCAGAAGAAGTAATCAGATCTTGCACTTCATTAACACAGTGTAATAAGTGTAATATAATGTATTATTACAGTTATTTACGCATTTATATGTTCATAAGGTTAATGTTGCAGCTGGTAAAGAGGAAGCTGATGTTAATATTTACAGCTGGGTAGTTTGTGAATTTCCCCCTTTATGGGGATCAATAAACTTTCATCATAATTAATAATATCTCACTGAGGGTTTTTGCAACAGCAACAGACGACATCATAAGTTATTTGTTGATTTTTGTATTATTGCTCTGAATATGCAACTAGTAGCTAAAGCTATCAAATAAATGCAGAGTTAAAAGAGCAATATTTGCCTTTTTAGTGGAGTAGAAGTAGGCAAGTCAAAATTTCCATGGATTTGTACTTGAGTAAATGTACTTAGTTACTTTACACCACTGCTGTCTGTATAAACCACCAAACATGCCTCGGCTCTTGAATGACACTGATGATGACTAAGTCATAGTAGCAGCATTTATTACATGTTAGGCGCTGTTATGTCTGTTTTATAGGAAGTTAAAAAACTACATTTTGGCAGGTTAACTTCTATTTTTTCACTCTACATTTTATTCCTGTAGCTAATAGTGGGAACCAACAGCGTTCCACCATATTGCATAGACAACAACAAACATAAAGCCGTCAGTGTTGAGCAGTGTTTAATTAATCAGTCAGTAATAACAATAATCCATATAACTAGTCAAAGGACTTGAGTTATCAGACACTTTCCCGCCCCCAAAGTCTCAAAAGTCAACTTGCGGAACTACATTTGTGCATACAAAGCAGAATTACTTCCTCGTGGCAAGGGTTTGGCGCTCGTGGACACTCTTCTGTGCTTGTATCACGTGTAAGCTCGTGTTTTTTTTATTTTTTTATGTGCACCGGTTTTGTGTGGACACCATAGTGTTGGTCGGCTGAACTCAGGATTGCTTTTGATGTGAAACTAAAGCCGACCAGCCACATTGCTGTGGTGGTAGCAAGGGGATTTTGACGAGAAGTCAGAAGCTCAACCACTAAATTGGTGAACTGAAGAAGCAGCGCTTGAAGTGATCCGTAAAAACCCTGTTTGCAAGATGTTCTGCACGTAGCTGGCTCAGTGTGTAGCTGTGGGCTTTTACTGTCATACTTCTGATATTTAAGTGGAGGTAAAAAGTGTGTTGGGTATTTAAAGGAGTTCCTCATTATGAAGTTAGCACATAGAGTGACACATATTAATAATGAGGAATCAGCTACGTTCTGTATCTGAGCTGGAACCAAACTAGTTTGCATTGCATGTTCTATTCAAGATTCTATTTTAGTTTAATATTTACAAATTCATATTTATATTTAGTTATATCAAAAAAAAGCATAAATGAGGTACAAAAAATTGTGCATCCTCCTCATTAAACCACATATACTCTGTGGCGCATTCATTCCATTGTTTTAGTAGATTTAACACCAATTGGATGTTTTGTTTTTTTTTTCTTAATAATTGCGATTAATGTAGAACAGTAACTCGTGGTTTCCTCCTGCTGAGTAAAGTCACGAATGCTGTAGATGTTCAGGGGAAATTTCCACACATCCACAAAAAAACAGATTTTTAATGTTGGGTTTTGTTCAAATTTGAAGACATATCATACCCTGAACAGTTCATACATTAGCATTATTCAGACAAGCTGTGAAAGTAGCTACGTGGTTTGAGACACGAGTGACCTCACATTTGTGAAAGACAGGAAGATTATGCATTACTTTCCAGCATTGCATCTCACCAACTAGGTGGCAACGTAGCGTGAAGTCGGCACTCGACAGACTCGATCCACCACCATCTGCTGAGCTGCAGCATTTACATGGAGAGCTGCTCTGATGCTAACCTTTCAATCTGCTGTGACTGACAGACGATAGCCTCGCGAACATAGCAAACAGATGTCATCTAAGCATGAAAGACACGAGGGTTACTGGGGACAGGGTTCTGTTAGAGCTGTGCAGAAAAGGGAGAGTCATGAAGATGTTGTTTATTAGCTTTTTGACTAGTTAACAGCTTATCACGACTCTTCACCTCCGTACTCTGATGCTATGTGATTTTGACAACCGGTGGAGTTGGAGCGCGCTCTGCTGGACAAACCATACGACGACACCATTGTTCTTGTATTCTTTTCGTATAAGCTTTCATATCAGACAGTGTATATGCAAATACTGATGTATCTGTGACAGACCTGCATCAGCTGATAAATCAGTTGCACTGCAGTGATGACAAAGTAAATGTTTCATAGTTTTATCATATGTCATTTTCCTTCCTCGTTCTATCTGCTTGTTATTATTCCTGACAGATGAGCTCCAGTTACTGTCTGGAATAATGTTCATAATGAGAAAAAAAACCTTTATATCAGCATTGTTTTGGCACAGAAGCAATGTTTCAGTGATGTAGAAAATCCAGACAACACGATCGATCTCGGATAAGTGGACACGTGTTTTACTATAACGGTTAAAGTGCACATTCATGCAAGATTATGCGATCAAATAGTAACCGTTCTTGGTGTTTGTTTCACAGGAATTCGTCGCACAGTACTCGGAGTACATGCTGAACAAAAGTGTGGAGAAACAGTTCAAAGCCTTCAGGAGAGGCTTCCACATGGTCACCAACGAGTCGCCGCTCAAATACCTGTTCAGACCTGAGGAAATCGAGCTCCTCATCTGTGGAAGCAGGGTGAGGTTAATTTTGTTAACCAGATGTTTGAATATGATGGGAAAAATTTGCTTAATTTTCATTCTTTTTTCTTTCATCTTTGTCTGCAGAACCTAGATTTCCTAGCACTTGAAGAAACAACAGAATATGATGGCGGTTATAACAGAGATTCTCGAATCATCAAGTAAGAAAATGTGTCCGTATGTGCAGGACTCTGCTGCTGTATGATGAGAATTACTAATAATTCTGCTGCAGCTGTTCGTTCAAAGTGTGAGCAGGACACACATTGTGACTGTCGGGTTTGTTTTCAGGGAGTTTTGGGAGACATTGCACTCATTCGGTGAGGAGCAGAAGCGCCTCTTCCTGCAGTTCACCACCGGCACTGACAGAGCACCCGTGGGTGGGCTGGGCAAGCTGAAGATGATCATTGCTAAGAACGGCCCTGACACAGACAGGTGAGCTCCCTTCATTCATAATCCTACCTGTCAGGTAGCATTAAAGCACAAGTTTGTAGGAGAAACTTTGAAGATTGATTGCAGGCTTCAGGGCGTGTTCAGACATGTGATTGCGTTTAACTTCATAAAAGGAGGCGTACAGGAGAGTGTGATGATGCTACAGGGTTGTTAGGTTCTTGTAAAAGTAAAGTTAAAAAGCTGTAGACCATATATACGTAAAAGCTTGTTTTCAGGGAGGATCTGCAAAGTCAGTGAATCACTTTATTCTCAACTATTAATGTGTTTGATTGCCGTAATTTTAAAGAAGCAATCCCAGGTTTCTTTCCTCCTCTGTGATGTTAAACTAAACAACTTTGTGATCGCCCTGTGTACATTTACCAATTCAGAAGAGGTCAAATCTTTGTCCAAGGCTTCCCGTTAGATGCTGTGAGCGTGACCGTCCGTGTGCTGTTGTTGTGTCTCGGCAGGTTACCGACGTCTCACACTTGCTTTAATGTGCTGCTGCTGCCTGAGTACAGCAGCAAGGAGAAGCTGAGGGAGAGACTGCTGAAAGCCATCACCTATGCCAAAGGGTTTGGCATGCTCTGAGCCCCTGTTCCAAAACAGACTCCTTCTCAGAAAGCCCATCAAACCCTGCCCTGCCCTTCCTGTATCAGACACAATCTAAAAGGTGACAAAAGACAGACCAGAGTATGTTTTGAGGAAAAGCAAGTCAATAATGAAAGAGGACAAATGGTTCTAATAGAGCGCTCTAGTAGTTCTGCTACTGTGCCTGCATCATCCCACATCAGTCAGTGTAAGCACAGAGACCTCCTGAAGTACCCACTCCCACATCCACATTATGTGAATGTGCTGCAGCCTCCCCTTCTTTTTTTTTTTCTATGTACAGAGAGGATCATTTTCCTTATTATTTATTTTAAGGTTAAAATGGGTTATTTTTCATGCCTGCCTGTTGTGATAGCTTCCCTACTTGGGGAAGGGGGAGGGTTAATATTAAATAATGTAAATTTGGGATGACACCATAACAAGTCAATATAAACCCTGTTTATTGAACAAAAACATGTCAAAGTAACCCTCGACTCTTGTCCACAGACAGAGAATCTAGTTTTAGAGTAGTCTTTACTGCAAAATATTGTATTCCCCACTGAAGAAAGAGATTTCGCTGACCATTCCACTCACTACCATTGCTTATTGTTTCCACCAAATCCATTTTGATCAAGGTAAGCATTTGGAAAATTACTGTCATTTGGTCCAAATAGGCACATTATCAAATAGCTGTTTCGTTTGCTTTTGGACCTTTTTCCTTTGTGGGGGGACACCGCAGGTTAGACTAAAATCTTGTCAGAGCTGTGTAAGTGCACTTAGACATTTTCAGAATGTTTGTTTTTCGGCCACAGGTTGCCATGATTGTTTGAAGCATTTTATTTCCTTGTCTTCCTGTGTTGACGATGCTAAATAAAAACAGTATTTATATATCAGTGCAGTTGGAACTACAATACGGTATTGTACTACAATAATGCTACGGAGGATGTACACATGTAGACTTGACGACGTTCTCAGATAAAGACATAGAGTTCTTCTTGTGCCAACCTACAGTCAGTTGATAGGTGAAAAACCCTGATGAGCACTTTGTGTTGTCTTTTTCTGGCTTAGTCTCACACTGCACAGTTAAGTTTATCCGGAACCTTCACATGTGAACCTTCACAGTGTGCACTGACAGATCTTTGCTACTTTGTGGTCTTCGGTTCATCGGACCTACGTCACTGGCTGTGGTTACACCTGTCATTTAACAACACAACAACCTGACAGGTGGTACAACTCGCAACAGCGTGTTAGGGCACAATCCCAACGCACAAAGCTGCAATCCAGGGTCAGACAATCCTGAAGCTCAGACAAGTTGCTTCCTTTGCTGTTAGACCCACAGTGCAAAATGCTAGCAGTGTAAAGAAAGTGAGAAATTAATCGAACTCATTTGAAAACCCTTTTCATCAACAGACAGGCCTTGTTAACTGTGTCCCCCTGCTTTGTTCTAAGCTAGGACCAACCTACGGACCTCCATACTGAACGCACAGATGACACTCGTGTCGTCTTCTGTGACTCCTGTGTGGACTCATCACTGTGATCAGATTTAGGTTTGGATCTGTCACATTCAGTAAAAGTGAAAACAGGTGTAACCACTGTCGATAAAAAAAAAAAAGGCAAAAAAAAAAGAAGTGCTAAGTAGTGCTTTCTGTTTAACAAGAATTTGACTGTGAAATCATCCCCCTACAGAGCAGGCAGATCTTTTGTATTTTGTTTTTAGTTCTCTGATCAGTGGAATAGGCTGCACTTGTAAAGGACTTGAGGAATGTCTGCATGATGTTCTTGCACACAGACTCGGTTCACTGGTTTAAGTGACTCTTTTTTTTTTTTTTTTAAACAACCTGGGTCTTGTTTTGTAGTTTTGGCCACAGTTCTTTTTATTTCTTTTTAATGCAGCAATTTCATAGTTTGACACATTTAATAGAGCGCAACAGGACAAGCAACGCAAGTTACCAGACACCCAGACGGGGTTTAAACCCTTCTGCAGTTTACCCAGATTATCTGAGCCACTTACTTGAAAGTAAAAGCAAAAATCTGCACGCTGGAAATATTGGACAAGTTGTTACGGTGCAAGTACAATGAAGAGTATAAAAGAGAGGTGAGTACCTTTGGCAATGTCAATAACTGTCAAATGATTCAAAATTGTATTACCTTACAGTAACTGTAGTTCAACAGTTGGGTGTTTGCTCTTATGTGGAATGAAGAAGAAACCGTTTAGATCTTCTGTGTTCAAAATACAGGCTCCAGAGTAGAAACTCAACAAGAGTCTGTGCAACTTTAACTAAGACTTAAATCTTTTATTGTTTCAGCCCTTTGTTGCACTACCTTTTAAAGTTTGTTCTTCTTTGGAAACTCTTGTGTGATTTTTGCAGTGCGTTTTAGATTGTTCCTCCTCTGCCAAGCTCCTGCAGACTGGAAGTCATCTTGTCAGCCAGTATTTTTGTACATTCATGGTGCCATTTATGAATGTCATCTACCTTTTGCACTCATGCAGCTCCATATTATCACACTCCCACCTCCGTGCTTCACTGTCAGGACCATGCATTCGCTGTGGTCGTCCTCAGCTGGACAAATTATTCTTATCCAGTAATTATCAAACTTCTTTCTTGTCTTTTAACGAAGTCTGATTTCTCAGACGTTATCCATTGAGGTTGACATTATGCAATGTCCTTCACACTGTCATAGAGTTTCCATTGGGCCCAGTGTGAGCTAGATTGTGCAAGTAGCGCACTGTTGTTGCCGCCATCCTTTCAGGAGGACGACCACTGCAGTCCTGATTAGCGGTACAATGGCTCGCTTTGTACCTGATGTGATAGTTGGTCACTGATTTTCATGTGTAACTTTTACATATTTGTCAAGTCTCTCAAACCTATTTCTCTGTTCCTGTGGCACTTCTTTTCTATGTGGAGCCATGATGCAGACAGTCAAAAGGTGCAAAACTGAGAAAGTTCTGGAGGCCATTTTACAACCATGTTCATGCAATTTGGCAAATTGGAAATGACAGGTGTTCTCAGTGTTGTAATTACAGGTGTGTTCACTGTTGTTGCATTGACATTCTACTGTGGAGCCTGTAGTTTCGGTATGTTCTTTGTAGCATTTGTTCTTGGCTGTTCATAAGAGGAAATACTCAACTGTTTAACTTAGAAATAATTATTGAAAGCTGATTCAATGTTTAATCATTTAAAGTGATATTGCACACTTGCTTCTGAACTCACTTCTGTTTTGTACTTGACTTGCTGCTCACACTGACAAAAGTCAAGGAGGACTTGCTGGTCATTGCGATGGATGAAACGATGACCATCAAGTCGGATTTCAAGGGTCAACTTTTGTACTGAATGGAAGCATCTTGAGGAAAACTATATATATAACCAAAAAAAAAGCTTATACGTAGCTATTAAAATTTGCCAACTTACTGGTCCTTAAACTCTTTCACTTCAAGTATGTGGTTAAGATCATTTGGGTAAATTGCAGACAAAAATCCTCACACCGATGTAAATCTGTTAGTTTCCCTCATCTTTAGACTCGGTATGAATTGCTGTAGCATTTATGTCAACTACATCTCTGAGCTCCTAAATGAAGCCGGCTCAGGTATCGTCACGTGGCGTACACATGCTACTTCAGTCTTTGTTTAAAGACAGCATCAAGTGTGAGCGTTCTGCTTGACCTTAGTCCAGCTGGTTTTCTTCAAGAGAAAGCGTGAACACAGACCGATCATGAAGGACGTTCACATCTGATGCCTCTTTGGTCTCGTGATAATACCTGAGCCGGCGACAAGTCTGCTGATGTCTGTTCACGGCAGATGTGTATGTTTTTAATGTGCACTTAAGAGGCGGTTGTTGGTAGGAGGTTGAATCTGTGGCTTCTCACTCAGACCTTTGAGGTTCCTGCTGCACTAGCGATGTATCTGCAAGAGGACTGTCTGATTGGTTGAAATGCTGCTGAAGGGGCCCGCAACATGCCACTAAACCACGGTGCTCAGATCACCGCAGTACACAACAACCCTGAGCCAGTCTTTCTGTTCAGTTCTCTTATATTTTTTTTCTCATCTTCATGGTTTCAGCCAGACCTGGGCCAAATGATGTTGGAGTACCTTTCACTTGTTTTTTTTAAGCCTTCATTGGAGTCACTTTGGACAGTACAAGGAGTGCCTAAAAATGTGGACAAACAATGGACTGTGTTGGAGAGTCACAACAGAATATTTGTGCGATTAAGAAGCTGGCGGGAATTGTTACTCTGCAGTAAACCTGTGGAGGTTTAAAACTAAAGGTTAAGAATTACTTGCAACGGTTATTGAGCCCAGGTCTGGTTCCAGCTGTTCAACATTACTTGTACCTCTGTTTTGTAATGCTGAAGATGCTGCTCGCCTGGACATGTGAAAGGGCTCTTAGAGCCTAGTGAAGGTAAAAGGTGAAGGGTCAACCTGATCTTGGAAAGGGAAGCAGTTTTCATCAATTGGTTTGATGCAACAGTTAAATTCTACAAGATACAAACTGATGAAAGGCTAAAAGTATTCAGTGTTGTGAAAACATGCTAAATAAAGATGACTGCTTTTTTCCAACTTGTATTGCCTTATAATCCTGATTTGAGTCCACAGGTCCTATGAACCTTGTCCATGTGTTCCTGTTTGTTGATCCCCTGTCAGCAGAGGTTGTCCACACAGAAATACCATCCCACACCACTGATTCATCTAAAGCCACCGTACAACGTGGAGGACGAGTACAACAATCCCAGCAGAGTAGCAGGACTTTCATTTAACTGATCACTTTCTGCCGGTTAAATCTTCATTCATATGTCCGTAATTCAAACTCATTAACTTTATATTTCTTGAATTTGAGATCAAATAACAAAGTGAGAAAAGCTGTTTTTTATTGCTGTAACATGAAATCTGTCTTATGTGAAGTTCAGCAAACTGTCCAAAGTGAATATAACTCATTTAGCTTGGTTTTAAACATCAGCAGTCTGATAATCATCCAACCTGAAAGCAGAGCAATGCTTAATGGTCCCATACTCAGTCACTGTACACTCAAACAACACTGATGTAAAAGCATTCATGCCACTTTTATTATGAACATATTTTACATTTGAGGAATTTTACACGTCATGTCAGCAGAGCCGTGTAGCTACCGAAAGGTTTCTTGTAGATTCATTTCAGTTCATGAAAAACATCAAACATTCCTTGTGCTTTTTAAACCAGGTTATAAATGTGACAAATGATAAGGAAAATACATATTGTGTGATTCAAGTACATACATTTGTTAAAGTCGGGTGGGTGAGTTGGTGAAACTGCATTTTACACAAGATCTAGGCAAAGCACCACCGTTATGACAGTGGTATCATCCATCCATCCGTTATCTATACATCGCTTAATCCTCACGAGGGTCGCAGGGGGCTGGAGCCTATCCCAGCCGACAGTGGTATCAGGTCCTAGTAATTCATATGATTGAGAATCGACTGAAATGACTGAATCACAGGTGCAGATATGACAAAGTTTAAATCTTAGTCTAAAACCAAATTCAGATCAGTTCTGATGCCCTCTGTTATTCAGTGCAAATATGTTTTCAATGAAAGAAAAGCAAAACTTCGTATTACTCAAACAGCTGTGATGGAACAAAATATTGATAACATTAGAGGAGCTGAGAAAGAACCAACCTACATGTTGAACTGCAAACCATAAATAAATGGCTGAGAGTAAACAAGTTATACTGAAAATGACCAAAACTAAATGCATGGTATTTGGCAGTAGGAAGGTTCCTGGTGACAACACTGCCTTCAGTTTGTGTATCGATCAGCTCAACAGGTGACTATGATTAAATTAGAAAATGAAATGTTCACCATGTGTCACCTCCAATGTTCTTGACTGCCAGTACAGAACAGCTAAGAAAACTAAATTACACAGAACAAAGAAGCCAGATTAGTTGATTGAGTAGAATTTTCTGATTTCTAAATGTGCTCATCATTGCTAAATCCTTTGGAATAATATTTCAAACTTCCTTTGTTAGAAACTACTGCTGTTTTATATTTATAACAAAGATCATCTGCTGGGGAGAAAAGAAACAATGGTTAACTTTCAAGGCAACCTTATTATTTTATTTTATTTTATTTTATTATTTTAAGTAATGAATGGAGACACTGTCCAGCTGCCGGTCCTATGCCGTTTGATGAATGCAAAAGGTCCTCAAGTCTCTGGAAAGAAGGAGCATCACTAAGCCTGGCGGTAGTAGTGTCTTCCAAGCTTTAATCAAAGTCTACGGTGATGCCTCTGGCCTGGTTTGATATATTCGTGAGTCGCTGCTTGAGTTTGCGCTGGGAGGACTCGTAGTGGCTTGTTAGCTTTCGGAATTTGGCTGCCATGACCTCCAAATTGGCCTCAATCTGGTTGACTTTGTTTTCCATGTCTTTGGCGTCAGTGGCAGAGACCAGCGACTCGTCTATGAGGTTATCTTTCATCAGGATGGCCCTTCCTTTCTCCTCCAGAGCATATTTAGCATCAGGGTACTCTATGAGCGCCTCCATCAGATCGTCTTTGGACAGGGCGAACAGATCAGAGTAGCCCACGCTTCGGATATTTGCTGTTCTTCGGTTACCTGCCTTGCTACCTTTGATCCCAAGGATACTGATTTCTCCAAAATATGCCCCATCACTGAGGACCACAAACTGGGTAACCCCATCATCCGCTACCACAGCCAGCTTTCCTTCTTTGATGATATACATTTCCCTGCCAATGTCCCCCTTCTTACAGATGTAGTCACCAGGACTGAAAACTTGAGGCTGGAGTTTCAGGACCAACTCAATAAGCAAACCTGCTTCACAGTCTTGAAAGATGCGCACTTTTCTTAGGGTCTCCAGATGTACGTTAATGGCGATCTCAGCCTTCAGCTTGTCTGGGAGATTCTTCAGCACTAGCTTCTCGTCGCAGGTTTTCTCCTCAGTCCAAAGGTAGTCAAACCACTTCACCACTCTTGCCTCCAGATCTTTGGTGACCTTACGAAACTGCATGTACTGCTTGATCGAGTCAATCTTAGCCTGGAACTCCACACGTGCAGCATTCATGTTGGAAATCATGGCACCAACGTTTCCTACAATCGTAGCAAAGATCAGAACCCCGGTGAGGAAGTCAACTACCACAAAAAAATATTCAATGTCTCGGACTGGGGGTGGCGTCTCTCCAATAGTAGTCAACGTAAGAGTGGACCAGTAAAAGCAGTAGATGTACTGTCTGGCCAGGCGAGAATACTCAACATGATTGATGTCTGGATACACCCAGGTGTCTGAGCCAAAACCAAGAACCTTGGAGATGGCAAAGTAGAGGCAACCATTCCAGTGAATAATGATGATGATGTAAAGAACAAGATTACCAATTCGAAAAATGTTTGGAAAATTGGTTCGAGTTTCAGTCCGGTCAAAGAACTCAAAGAGTCGAGCCAGCCTCAAGAGACGGTTGAACCTCCACTCTGGGTTGTTGATTCCAATTTGGAAGAATATAATGTCAGTGGGAAGAATTGATAAGACGTCCATTTTGAACTGGAGAGTCTTCATGTACCTTTCTTTTAGGACCTTTTCATCCCTTACAAGCAGCCCTTGTTCCAGAAAACCTGTTGGCACATTAACATACGGTTAGCTTTGTCAAATCTTAAACATTTTCTGTAATGACAAACCTGATAAACAGAAACGGCCATTGCTGACCTGTCCTGGCTCTCACAAAGGTGTCAAGGTAGTAGAGGACATCTGAAGTGTAGTCCAAAACCAACCACAGCGTTATGTTTGTATACTGCAGTTCATTGAAACACGACCTGCATAGAATGAAAACCGTGTTAAAACCTCTAACACGTCAAAGAAAGAAAAAAGAGAGGAAACAGAAAATGAAATCACAATGAATCAGACCTGGCCACCAGGAGCATCAGGTTGTAGAACACCGGGATCGATATAGTGCACAGCCAGTAGTAGTACATGTCCGTGGCGGGGTCCATGATCCACACCTCCTTCCTGAGTGAGGAGAAGTGTTTGTTTTATACAACGAATGTAAATGATTTGCGAAATAAGGGTTGGTTGCATCAATACTGAGATTTGAGTGTTATATTGGTATACATATTGAGAAATGTCAATCTATATCCAGTCCTACTTAGCTGGAAACTCCTATTTATATACAAGTTTCAGTTTTTTGGCTCTTTGGCTACTTGCACTCTTACGGGCTGTATTAAAGACAGACATAGTGGCCATGATGTCACCTATTGTCTTAATGGCCACCATTTTCAACTTTGGCATTTAGCCATTGAAGTCTTTTGAATCTGGATATGTAAGCAAAAGATCTGACTGAAGAACCTGAGGACACTATGCATGCCAATACGCAAAGTGGCAAAATAACTCTACAAAATTAAACACTGTATTCTAAATTGATGTGGAGATTTCCAAAGAGATCAAAGGTGTGAGGGATAAAATTATGACATGTACAATATTACAGTTTATTGCAGCCCAGAAATATGCTATATTGTACTTACGGTTCTTCTTTTTTGTCGTCTTTCTTGCCATCCTTTTTGTCATCTTTCTTATCGTCTTTCTTATCGTCTTTCTTGTCGTCTTTCTTTTCATCTTTCTTGTCGTCCTTCTTTTCGTCTTTCTTTTCGTCTTTCTTTTCATCTTTCTTATCATCCTTCTTTTCATCTTTTTTGCTGTAAATATTCAGAAACAGAGTTAAATAAATTAAATCTTCTTGTTATGCAGTAGCACCTTTTTTTCCATCAATATAAAGTCATGTGCATCTATTGAAACAGCACAACCATGACTACAAGTAGCGTGAAATGTCTTCTAGCAAAGCTACATTGCCACAAATCATAAAAAAGAAAGAAAAAACTCACATTGAATTTCTTTCATTATTTATTTTATAAATCAGCAAACATGGACTTCAGATGTTCAGGTGCCCACATTAAAAATACTGGAGAAAAATGGTGGTTGTAGATACTCTGCACATCATTTTAGCAGATGCTTCACCGTGCTGAATGTATCTAATACATTCATTTTAATGGGCAAGTATTTTTAGTTTTTTTATTTTATTCTTTCTCATTTGTTCCTCTGCTGACATATAATGACTTTAAGCTTAGATTTGCTTAATTTTACCGGAAGAACTGTCACATAATTAGTCCAAGGAATGCCTGAGACTGTTCAAATTTCATCAGAAGAGAACTGCAGCAATTTAACGTTCCACTTTAATGCAGTTGGAACATTTGCAAGAGAGTGATTTAAAATGAATCGTGTAAATCAAAGCAGCAATGCAGAGCTCAGGAAGTGCTGCTGCTCTACAGTGCAGCTAATGAATGTCTTTTAATTCTCTAATGAATGTCCACATTCTTCAAACTCCACTCCCAACATTTGTAATGCAGCTTTTCTGTCATGAATCTAAATGCTTGATTCTAATCAGAGGTACATTTCATAGCAGGACAAGAAAGGCCTATTCATGGAAATGAGTTAGCTCTAATCTTCAATCATCATACATGAATCTACCGGAGTATCTGGTTCACTCTCTGTTTGTCAATCTAGTTAAGTAGCGTGAAGGAGGATGTAAGGGATGATCCATGTATCATCTTACCCATCATTGTTGTTGCAGTTGTTCATGTTCAGTGGAGCCAAGGCCCCCCGACCAGCACTGGAAGAGAAACAGATACCTGCATGAATTCATGGCTGAGAGTTTTTCTGTGATTTTTAAATAAGCAGTGAAACAGTATCCAGCTGTCACAGGACAATATGTGTCACACATAGACTAAGAGCATTGCATTGTCTGGGCATCATGTGTCAACTTACAGAAAGAAAATGTTAACCCGAAAAAAAAAGAGGCAGAAACAAAATAATGTCCACACCAGTGATTTTGTACAACAGGCTTGCCAGGCTTAGAAAAATACATTTGCACTTTATTTACAATTATCCCTCTTTTGCTAATGGGAAAATGACATGAGAGCAAGCAGCCTATAATTATATCTCCTTCAGCGTCATTCAGGATAATATTCTTTTCCAGCTTTAGTGTGAAGTCTTAATCTGCTCTGAAAAGATGACACTGAAGTCAGATTGTCAGTCTTATTTACTAATTATTTCATCAGATTGTGTGTCAGTGGGATCCCAGAGTGCTAATCCTTTCAGCATGCTCCATAAACAAGCTTTCGGTAATTTGTTTTTTTGTTCCTTTACCCTTTACACCCGGCAGTAGTAAGACGTGGGTGCAGGTAGAACTCACCTGCTCGCCATGCTGCCGTCTGTCCTCTGGCTGGACTCTGCAGGGACGACACTGCTCCTCCCAAAGCGCGTCATGTCTGACAGAAGATCAGAATAACATGCTGGGTATGAATGGATGGATATCACATCTGTATAGATCATGCAGGATTTGTTTAAACAAAAATACATTTCATTGGGAAAGATCTACCAAATATCGATTCCACCATTATGCACACTTTGAACACTTCAACACATTCAGTTTAAAAGAGTGTGCATGTTACATTGAAGTGCCAAGTCTCAGCTTTGATTTGAGTAAGTTTACATGAATAGAAAAAGGGCTAAATTGGAAGATATTAGCGCTTTAACACATAGTGCCAAAAGTTCAAAAGTAACTGGACACACTTAAATGTTTCTTGTGCATCTTTGGTGCATGCACAAAAAACAACTTCGGTCACTGTGCAAATGAAAAAAAAAAACATTTAAAAAAGGCCAAAAAGATAACTGATAAATCCTAAAAAGCAGAGGCACAGGGAATGTCAAAAAATAAGTGGAAATTCATTTGCATGGTGGAGAGAAACTCCTTCATGTCTGCACAGCAAGTCAGTGATGCTCTCCAGGAAAAGCGACCTTCTGGTGACCTGTAGGCCAAACTGTAGTTCAGCAAAACCAAACTGGAAGAGCCGTGGAACAACGTTCTATGCACTGATGGCACATAAAAATGAACCTAAATCCGAATGATGTAAAGAAAAAAATGTGAAGATAAAACCAAAAGCACCAGCTCATCTCTCAAGTGTGCTTGTGTTCCGGTTACAGTTTGGACATGTATGGCTTCCAGTGGCTCTGGTGCTCTGGTGCTTACTGATGAGTTTACTGCTCATGGAAGCAGCAGGATGGAGTAGTATACTTTAGGCACACATTCATCAAAATCATTCAAGCATCAGAACAATCCTGAACGTAACGCCAAAGGAAGCCAAACTGCTTGAGTCAGTCAGCAGATGAGCTGCTCAATGAGCTGCTGTCCCCTTACTGAAGAGCAGACTAAAGTCTTAGAGACTCTACAACAAGCAAGAAGGTGGCTGCAGTGAAGGCTTTGGAGAGCATCGTCATGAAGATATAACATGTCTGTGGATGTCCAGGTGACTACAGAGAATTTCCCACAATATAATAGTATTAATATATCAGTACATTGATGTAAACCTGCTCAAGATAAAGCTGAGACTTGGTACTTTAATGCAGTATTCATTCTTTTATTTCGAATCAAATGTGCTAAAGCAGCAAGCCTAAAGACTGGAAAATGTGAAACTGAATGACTTGGACTGTTGGACTGATGCTCTTGTCCAGCAGTTGTTTCTGTGTTGACTTACATGCATACAGGACACAACAGAAGTGAGTTCACTCCTGTGCAACATCACTTTAGAACTGAGTCTGTCAACAACAACGAAAAGCTGGAAACACAAAGTATTAAAAAAAATAAGACTGAGGCTTGTATTTTTTATTATATTATATATTGAACTCTTATGTTTTTGTTTTACATCAGAACAAACAGCCTTCAGTTTGATATTTAAATTTTATTCCACTGGTGTGTGTTCACTTCTGTTGTATTCCATGTTTGATTTGATTTGAATTGAATAATTTTTGTGTCATACAGTATATTTGATTCAGTATTAGTTCTGCTGAACTTACACACAGCATTTAGGAAGCATTTCTCTAACTGACGGACAGAAGAGCAGCTTCTGTTTAGTCTCATTAGCTCAGCATGCTTCTTCTTTAGCACTGTTAACTCAAATCCCTCTCTCCCAGATTACACCTGCTAAAATTAGATTTTCACCCAGACGTGACTTGCGAAGCTCAAGTAGTTTCTCTCTAGAAATCACACTGTGACACTAACAACAACAATCTCCATCTACTGTGTGGTTTACCTGAATGTGAGCGATGATGATGATGACGAGCAGCTCAGACAGTAAAGAAAAGTCCAGATGAGCTCTGAAGAAATCCCATATTACTCCTCGTTTGTCATCCCTCCTTCACATCAAACATGACATCAGAGCTGAGGACTCCTGTTCAGATGTATAGATCCTACCATGAATGAGGTAGCATCTGTCTTCTAACACAAGTCACTGGAGAAAATAACTCTCATGCTTCACCGTGGACGAGGTCTCTCCCTGCTGTGGATCAGGTGGACTGTGCACCAGCTCGCAGCAAAGGTGAAGGGAGGGGGAGGAGGAGGAGGAACAGAGAATCATTATCTCTGCCTTTAAAGTCAAGAGGGAGAGATGTTGTCATTCTTCAGACTGTTTTTTTTTTTAGTTGCTCTTTCCTGGAGGAGTTGTTCTACTAATTCTCTGTAAAACACCACAAAGATGTGCAATGACACACTTGACCAGGTTGTAGGTTTTTTTTGAGTTCCTTGGAAACTCCTCTGTGATCACACTCCCACCTCTGTGCTTCACTGACAGGATTGTACCTTCACTGTGGTGGTTCTGACCAGGTTCCCACCAAACACACTGGACTCCATCTGAGCAGAACAAACTGATCTTGACCAAAGAATGTGGAAGAGGGAGGAGAGAATCAAGAAAGTGAACCAGCTGAGAGATAGCCAGAGTAATGGGGGGGCAGCAATACAGTATATTAAATCCTAAAACAGCTTTGTTGCATCATTCATGTTTCTCTGTGATTTCTGAGCATACACACTAGCCTTCCTACTACTGTTTGCAGTTGACAGCGAGTTGTAATAATCCCATGTGTAAATCTAGTGTTGACAGAAAAGTATGTGTTTAATAAAGTACAATACCTGACGGGATCAGAGTTTCTGTGTGTTACTGGTGGATGTGTCATGCAGATTAATAAACACAGGCTGTAGGTTTTCAGTTAGAGTGGCTTTGTAGATGTCACTGACTGTATTACTGACAACAATATCAGATTTGTGATGCAAGTTTCCTCCAAAGACAAAAAAAATGAACAATTTCCTATGATCTGATGATCTCAGATGAAGAATAATTTCCTTGCCGTATCATGTCCCCGCACTGATATAACCCCGCTACCCATCCCTGGGAGGATAAAAAGGACTGACTGGACTTGGAGCGCCTCTTTATTTATATCCCTTCCAGTCTGAGTAAATCCTCTTAGTGTGTGCACAGCTAAAGTAAAACATCAGACTCCACCTGCAGCTCAGAGATGAACGGGACAATCCTCCTGCAGCTAATCTCAGCTCTGCCTCCTCTGCTTTCTTCAGCTGTGAGTTCAGGGAATCGGCGCCGCTGTGAAACTGAAAGCAGCTGATCGGTTCGAGGTGCAAACACATCGTGACAGGCCACACAGCCACACATCTCAGGAGGGCTCCTCAGCCAAAGAACACAAAAAAGCTAAACACAGCTATCCAACTAACCTGAGCAGCACCAAGTCAGAGTTTAGATTAATAGAAAGATCTTTCAATTGTCTTGTTAAAATTTCATCAAATAAGTTTAGAGAATACATCTGGACACAAAACATCTTAATGCCAAAACTGTATTTTATGATCTAGAAAGCTAACTTGGAATGTATTATTTACAACAGACAATGCTGATAAATCCAGTGTTTGCTCTTGTGAATCTTATGAACACCTGACATCAGCTGGAACGTTTTCAGGATTGTACATAGGAGCTGTGTCTGTCATGGCTCCACATGGAAAAGAATTGCTGGAAAAATTGAAAAATCTGGTTGTGAGACTTCACAAAGATGGAAAATCCATCCATCCATCCATTATCTATACACCGCTTAATCCTCACTAGGGTCGCTGGAGCCTATCCCAGCTGACTTAGGCAGGGGACACCCTGTACAGGTCACCAGTCTCCATCACAGGGCTACACTTAGAGACAGACAACCAAGCACACTCACATTCACACCTACAGACAATTTAGAATCACCAATTAACCTCAACATGTTTTTGGACCATGTGGGAGGAAGCCGGAGAACCCGGAGAGAACCCACGCTGCACAGGGGGAGAACATGCAAACTCCACGCAGAAAGATTCCGGTGCCCCCACCGGGACGCGAACCGGCAACCTTCTTGCTGCGAGGCAACAGTGCTACCAACTGTGCCACCTTGTAGCCCAAGATGGAAAATGATGCAACTTAAAAATCAGTAGAAACACAGTTTGGGCAGTATAAGGTATAAAATGAGTCATAGTACCACTAATCAGAGCTGCAGCGGTAGACCTCCTGAGATGACGCCACCAACAGTGAGATATTTGCACAATTAAGTTCTAAAAAACAGACAGGCAAGTGCTTTAGACTTGGCAAGAAGGTTATCAATGGAAATCTGATTTTCTTTGAAGCTCAGACAGTGTGAAGGACATTCCGTCGAGCTCTGTGGATGGTGTCTGAGAAAAAAAAAACTTTGCTGCAAAATTAATCTTCTTAAGAACATGGCACATTCTTTGGCCAGATGGGAACCAGTGATACATTTGTTCAACAGATAATGCTCAGTGTAAACCTGATCAGAATGACCACAGTGAATGCATAGTCCTGAGAGTGAAGCAGGGAGGTGGAGGTGTGAAAATATAAGGCTACTGTAGTGAGTTTTCAATTTTACATAAAAGCAAACACCCTACTATTCACCATAAGAGTAATGCAATTAATATAAGGTGATACAGTTTTCAAACATTTGACATTTAAGGAATATTTCCTGACTGTTGTGTTCTGTAGGACCCTGAGAACAGTATGTGTACACAGTGTGTGTTTGATTAACAACTTCAGCCACACTGCAGAGTCCGATTAACTGCCGTTAATGAGATTAGAGTTAATCTGTTGGTGCCTCTTGGGGAGCAAACAGAGAAAGAAGTGACGAATCACAATGTGTTTGACTCTTGTTGATGGGGCTGCTGTGGAGCAAAACGTGTTAGAACTCAGTCAGGAAATAGGTCTTCAGTGTATATTAGATCTTCCAAACGCTCTCAAACCAGGGTTCTCCGACTGACTTTGCTGTTTGTGGCGCTCTCATCTCAAGCTGCTGATGTTCACTCGTGTCCCGATTCCTCACTGATAGTTTTGGGGTTTAGAGGATGGAATTGGATTTCTTTCGAAAAGGTTAACTCAGGAGTCACATAATAAAGAGTTACA